TCACTGAGGGTCTACTCTTCAATTAAAGCTGTCTGATATATAATGTGTTCTGTGTTAGGTCTTGGAAAGGCTTGATAGGCTAATGTAGTTGTGAAGGAGTTATTGGACTTGGTTTTCTTGTTATTATTGCTATCAGGAAATGTACAACCTAACCCTGGTCCGCCCAGTAGTAGTAGTCAGATCGCTACTCCTGCTGATTTTAAATCTAGGTCTGGGTTGGGATTCATCCACTTAAATGTGCGCAGTCTTTTACCTAAACTAGATTTTGTCCGCATTTGGGCAAGCTCGACTGACGCTGATGTCATTGTTTTATCAGAGACGTGGCTAAATAAATCTATTTTGGCCTCTGACATCTCCTTAAATGGTTACAATGTATATCGTACCGACCGACTTAATAAAGGTGGTGGCGTTGCCATTTATGTGAAGAATAAGTTTAGTGTAACCACATTGGTTTCCAAATCAATTAGTAAACAACTAGAATTTTTAGCCTTAAATATCGAAGTGGCAAAGGGTCAACAGGTCATGGTGGTGGGCTGTTACAGACCCCCCTCAGCTGTCAAGGACTCCTTGTCTTCATTGGCAACACTTTTATCTCAACTTGACTACAAGGAAATAGTGCTACTTGGAGATTTTAACTGGGACTGGTTAACTGCAGTGTCAGAGGATTTAAAAAACCTTTGTATCTCTTTAAATGTTACTCAGATTATAGACAGTCCTACTCGCCCTAACATTAAGTCCCCTAATAAATCATCCCTAATTGATCTCATTCTAACTAATGTTCCCTATAAATACTCATCTGTGGGAGTATTTGCTAATGATTTGAGTGATCACTGTGTTGTAGCAACAATTAGGGACACAAAGGTCCAAAAGGGTAAACAAAACATTTTGTGGAGCAGGGTTTTGTTCATGATCTGTTTGGGTTTGATTGGGGAAAAATCGATGTGTGATGATGTTGAAACTGCATGGTCTTATTTTTATCTTGGTTTTATGGAAATTATTGATAGACATGCGTACATTTAGAGTGAAGGGACGAGACAATCCTTGGTTTTCTGCTGAATTGTCTAGTCTCCGAGAAACAAGGCCTGGGCAAAGGCTAGGAAATCAGGCTTAGAGGTAGAATGGCTTCGTTTTAGGCAGCTAAGAAATAGCTTCACATCACAAATCAAAAGTGCTAAGTCTGAGTATTATCTGTCAGTTACCACAAGGAACCTGAATAATCCTAGAACATTTTTGGAAAGCCATAAAATCGCTATCCACCGGTGAAATCCGTAATGAGCTACCTCCTTGCCTTACCACAGCATCTGGCACTATATCGGACAGGGCCACTATGTTAAATTGTTTTAATGAGCATTTTGTGTCCTGTGGCTCTCTGTTTGATTCTGTTTCTAACTCTGCTACTGTGAACACCACAGTCTGTGACTCTGAAAAACGTGGTTTGGAAAACCCTTTCAGTTTTTCTCCTTTTTCTATTGAAGTTGTTCATGAAGCGTTAACAAAGTTAGATCCTAAAAAACCGACTGGTCCGGACAACTTAGAACCTTTCTTTTTAAAGATACCTGCAGATTTTATTGCACCACCTCTTACTTCTCTTTTTAACCTCTCCCTCAGCACGAACACATTTCCAAAAATATGGAAGTCAGCTTATGTCCTTCCTCTACTAAAAGGTGGGGCGGCTACTTTATTAAATAATTATAGGCCCATCTCTAAATTGTCAGTTCTGGCCAAGGTTCTTGAAAGCCTAGTGAGTGAGCATGTAAAGGTGTTTTTAAGTAACAATGACCTACTATGTAAACATCAGTCAGGTTTCAGAAAGCAACATAGCACCATCACTGCGACAATGAAAGTGGTGAATGATATTGCTAATATCTTAGACAAAAAGCAGAGTTGTGGAGCTCTGTTTATTGATCTTTCCAAAGCTTTCGATACCGTCGATCATCAAATCCTGAAGCAGAGGCTGGCCAGTATTGGCATATCCAGCCATGCAATGGGGTGGTTTGTGAACTACCTGCACCAAACTGCGAACCTTCGGGGACAGAGCCTTCAGTGTGGCAGCCCCCACCCTCTGGACCGCTCTCCCTGCGGAGATTCGCAACATCCCCACACTCGACGCCTTCAAAAGGGCCCTCAAGTCCCATCTGTTTGCCAAGGCTTTCGGCCCCTAATCGATCTGTTGTTTTGTCTGTCTGACTTTTGTTTTGTTATGTTTGTTTTTGCCCTATTACTTGTAAAGCGACCTTGGGTCCCTTGAAAGGCGCTATATAAATCCAAGCTATTATTATATTATTATTACCTCTCTGAAAGGTCCCAATGTGTTCAGTTTGATGGGCTGTCTTCTGAGTGGTTAAACATTACAAATGGTGTACCACAAGGTTCTGTTTTAGGTCCACTTTTATTCTCCATCTATATCAACAGTTTAGGTCAAAATGTGGATGAAGCAACTTTACATTTTTATGCTGATGATACCGTGATGTATTGTGCAGGTCCCTCCATTAAGGAGGCGGTTGTTAAATTACAGGCTATTTTTAATATTATTCAGACGCAGCTCTCTGAGTTTAAGCTTCTTTTAAATGTGGATAAAACTAAGGTAATGCTATTTTCAAAAGCCAAAAAGGCACCGGAGACAACCTTGGATATTGTTACTACGCAAGGAAAAGTACTTGAAGTGGTTACCTGTTATAAATACCTTGGTATCTGGCTTGATGATTGTCTCTCTTTTAAACCTCAGGTCAATAATCTGCTTAGAAAGCTAAGGGTGAAGCTAGGTTTCTTTTTCAGAAACAAGTCCTGTTTCTCACTTGAGGCCAGGAAAATGCTAGTCTCTGTGACCTTTTTACCTGTGCTGGACTATGGTGATTTGATATATATATGAATTAGATGCCGCATATCACAATGCGCTGAGATTTGTTACAAACCTTAAAGCACTTACTCATCACTGTACCCTGTATGCCAGGGCAAGTCTGCCATCACTTACTGTTCGGAGACTCAGTCATTGGTACATGTTCATTTATAAAGCCATGCTGGGTAAACTACCACCTTACATCTGCTCACTGATATCACAGAGAGTCGCAAGTAGCTATTGCCTAAGATCCCAGGATGTGTTTTTTTTTACATGTACCAAGTGCTAGGACTGTTTTAGGCACTAAAACTTTTATGTGCGTGGCTCCTCTAGCTTGGAACACTCTGCAAAACATTTTGAAAATGAGCATTTTGGTTCCCCTGCATCATTTTAAAGCACAGCTGGATGAAATGATATTTGATACTCCTGGTACCTGTCTTTGTGAATACGTTTGTAAATTGTACCCCTGTCATTATGTTGTATGTGTCCTTTCTGTTTTCTGTTACATGTGTAACCAATGTGCGGCAGGTCTCCCTTGTGAAAGAGATCGTTGATCTCAATGGGATTTTTTACCTGGATAAATAAAGGCTACAAACAAACAAACAATTGGAAACGAGTTGCAGCTGTTTTTTGTCCTGTGGAAGGTCAAAATTCCCTATGATGAAGTGAACAAAGCAAATGTCATGCTCCTTGAATATGTTTTGAGGTGTCAGTCTTTGTATGGGAAGTGTGTGATCACATTCAATATGCATCTCCTTACTCATCTGGCCAAGTCTGTGAAACTTTTGGATCCATTGTGGGCACACTCAGCTTTTGTTTTTGAAAATGGAAATGGGAGTCTCCTGTTAAGTAAAATGGTGAATTGAACAACATGTGTTGTTTAAGTAGTTAACAAGTTCTAGCTACAGTTCAAGAGCTGTTCAACAATTCTCCACTCAAGATGCAGACAGTGACTGTGTCCTTGCACAAAAATACGTAATGACTATTGTGTAATTTTATCTGACAGATGGTCTGGGGAGATTGGGCAGATAATATCATTAAGTTCAGAAGCAGGAATTTAAAATTGCTTTATTCTTCAAACATAGAATCTTTAGCTGGTCCAAGCTGTTTTTTTCAGTAGAGGGAGTCTCAGAAACTCTCTGGATATTTTGCCAAACAAATGTCATTAATGCCTAAGCAAATAAATGATCTAAGGTAAACACAGGGACGGCAGCGTCAAGACCCAAGAAACACTTGTAGACTTGTAGTCTTTGTATTTTGGGTTGTATTCAACGGCTGGTTACTGTGGCAACCTTATTTCCGAACTTTTTTCCCACTAAAAAAATTACCTCTGCAATGCCTACTGGAAACTAAACTAAAAGAGCCGACGAAAGATTTTCTGTGTAATGTTCTTTGTTGGTAAGTAGAATACTGAAGTGCAAACATTAACTGCAGTTGTCTGGATTTAATAAAGTCCATGGAGGAATTCGGCTTCAAATGTAGGCTATACTAAGCTAATGTTAGCTTCTGTATGCAGCTCACATTGTTAGCAATGTTGTCAGCTATAGGTTAATGTTTCATACAGTATTTCACCTATCCATTAATGTCCGTTAATGTTAAATAACTACAATTATGACATGTACGTTTTTTTTTAATTCTGTTCTTTATTGAAGAAAACATGTATATATGTACATCAAATGTGAGAGGTAGCTACACGGGTTAATAGAAGAAGAAAAAATACAAAACAATTAACAAATATTAAGATAATAGTTATAAACAGAAAAAAGTTACATTTCAAGTAAACATATTTAGCAAATACACATTAGGTTTTGATTTATTGCCTTATTCTTTATATTTGTAAGAGTGGTGCCATATTGTCCTTATTGTAAGTAAAAATGTGCAACATTTGGGTTAGGGTCAGTCCATTTCTTCTTGTGAATGTGATGTGTTCCCTAAAATACAATTGGTTGTGTAAAAAAACAATTAGTATCAAAATCCATCACCTTTCAAATCTATAAAAATGTCCGCATCCTTAAGTTGTATCGTTTTGAACGATACAACTTCAGGATGCGGACATTTTTATTTTTATTTTATTTTTATTTTCTCTGTAGACATGTTACACGGTCTGTTAGCCCCGCCCTCACGGACCTCCCTCCGGGCTGAAGTGATGCAGCAGGCGGCGGTCAGTGGGTGAAGGAGGGCGGCCTGTGGGGAGCAGCCTGGTGGACTAGCAGAGACTGAAGGAGCACTGTTTGGAGTTAAACCGTCTTGCTGGGGATATCTTGGTGTACTGTACATGAGGACCGATAAGGACCGTACACCAGAGTCTCAACATGCACCGAATAACGGGGAGAGCGGGAGGCGACAGTCTGATTGAGATGAGCCCAACTGACTCTTTCAATGGTGAGTTAGCGGAGAGCCTCAACCAGCCTGCCGTAGTTTCGCATTCAAAATGTTGCTATGAACTAAATGTGTTATGTTTCATTAGTGTTGGTGAGATAACGTTACTGTCCTACAGCTGGGAAACCAACTAAGACTAAACTGAGGTCGGGTGTTCCCCAGTGTGTTAAAAAAAACTTTAAATGTATTTGTCAAGGACTACTAAACATTGGACTAAATCTACAACCTTTTTTAAGATTGCTCTATGGCAATTGACAACATAACCATAACACTTCTATTTAACAAAAAAGGTAAGTAGTTAATTAGATGTAATGTATGTCACTGGTTGGCTATGCTATGGCATGCCCTTTCTGGCATAACTCGCAAATTACAGTGTTTACTACACTGTTTATCACAGAGTGCTATTATTTTAAAATGGACCCACCCTGTACATTTCCCCTTACGCATTAACAACCTCATAGTTTGTATTTCTTTATTTGGACACAACAGTGACCAGCCAGCCAGCCTCTGGCAGCTGGTCTGCTTTCTGGAAATACTTTGTCACTTCCCGGCTCACATTCATCCACCAGTACAAACCCCAAACCTCTCAGTGCCTCTGGCCTAAAGGGATTTTATAACAAACTCTTAAGAGGTTTGTGATTTTTAGCCTTTTATGGTGTTGGTGAATTGAGGGTGATTCACCATGGATGCTTTCCAGAAGCCCTTATCTGAAGGAGTTGATATGATAGTTTTGTTTTTCATCATGTTTATAGCAGATCATTGCAGAATCATGAACTATAATTTATGTTACATGATGCTCTGTGTTAATGGTGTGTAGTGATAAAGTGGGAGACTGTTTTTCACAATTCACACTCTCAGCTCTACAACATAAAAATGACTGTAGTACTAGAAATGTTGATTCTTTTAGAGGTAAATAGATTAAACAATGGTGATGAAAAAACGCTTTTCTCGTAACTTTTACTAACATCAGAACTTAATAATTGTATGACCTAGTGCCTGCAAAAATTATTTTTCATGTTGTTAATATACACTCAAAAACTTGTAGTGTTAATGGTAAATATCCCCAGACTGCTATTATTCCCAAACAATTTAGATTCTTAATGAATACAAAATAAACATAACTATCTGAGACTCTTTTAAATGTCATTATAAAGTAAATTCAACTGCACAAAGACATGAGTCAAAACACACAGACGAGAGAAGGTTAGATTCAGACTTACTTGGATTATACCTTGTTGTTGCATCCTTACTGTAAATATGGATTACATTTATCTGGCACTGTCTTGGTGAACTGGCCTGTGGTGTACAAATCGAAATAGGACAGACTACAGCTTCCTGTCGTAGGAAATTAGACAAAACCCACCCACTGTATTTGTATACAAAAATATCTACTGAAAGTAAGGCTGCTGAATTTACGTTTACACCTTGCTAGGTGGCATTTGTAACACTGAAAAACTACAGGTGCAAAATGGCAGACATCTACACCGATAGGAGGGGGAGTCATATCTCTCTTATTTCAATATACAAGCTGTAATTGTTGGCACTGTTTTTTGATTTAGCAGGATTTGCCTTAAAGTATTTGTATAGCGGAGTTGTAAAATAACTTTCTTTGTTTAGGATAAATATTGATGTTTGGAGTTTGGAATCTGTTGGGTTGCTGTGGTAATAAAAGAATGAGACAGAAGCTGCCTTTTGGCATTTCCTCTGTGATCAGCTGCTGTCTCTCGAACAAAGCCTTAACTGTGGAGGCTTCTTGGTCAGGTTGGAAAAGAATGTTTGCTGAGAGGTTTATACTGAGTGCTGAAATACTGAGTCCAACTGTGCACAAATATGCTCGTCTGTTAGAGGCATTCTCATATGTTGTAAAAGAAATACATTTTGGAACTTCTGACGGCAATCAAAATCAACTTCACAATCCTTTTTGGATCTTATGTTGTTTTAAAGACAATAAAATATTGCATAAAACAGTGGCTGATGGGATTTACGTTTAAAATATGCTGTATATTGTGCTGTATAGAACGTATTGTCTTCTTTAGGGGGTCGCTGCTTGTCCCCTGTAAGCTTTCACATCCTGTCTTAACTCAAAAAGTAAACGCAAATAGAAAAAAGTAATTTAGAGCAAAACTAATTTAAACATTTTTGGTATTCTGTTTCTGGAAAATGTCATTTATTTTAGTTTTGAACCACTAACTTTTACTTGGCTGACTTGGTGTGTAATAACGTAGAGACAGAAAGGTTTCGATGCTTGTTTCAGGTCAGTGTAAGCACTTTTAACTGTGTTGAGTCCAGACTAAATATAACCTCACATAGACCATCAATTAGGAAGGCTGCATTTCTATTTAAACACAGACACAGAGTCTGAAACCTTGTTCTGTGTTCTTGTTTTACTTTTTGGGAGATAGTGTCACAGACTGTACTTGAAGTTGTCCCTGCTTTTCCATTTCTCCTGCTATTTGTTTATGTAAATCTCTTTCTCTGAATTAATGAAAGGCTTGAATTGCTCTCGTCAAACAATGACTGGCAGGTAACAGCAGTATTTTGTAATGATTAAAGTCATGTCTCATCACATGGGCAGTTTTCATTTTCATCACATGGATGGGGTTTCCCACACTTCTCAAAGCACAGCACCATGGATGTGCGTTTCTCCCACAGTGATCCTGTCAAGTCATGCTGTCCGGCCTATGGGAGCACTGCCACAGAATGCTGCTCAAATATAGACCACAACGTCTGTGAGTGCTCCTCTATTAACTGAGGTAGCTGTTCATATGCCTGAAACTTCCCTTTACTGCCCCCAGCCTGCCTGGCTAAAGTTCATTTGACTTGTTATGATCATTTTACATTGGTTAAAGAATATTATAGCTTATATTAATGTAATGTTGCTTTGTTTACTGTCTTGCAGATGATGTAAATGGCTACCCCCAACATGTTTCATCGAGCACAGGATCCCTCCACCCGGAACAATCACCGGTAATTCACCACGCTTACACTCACACAACAGACATGACTTAAAGCACCTTTTTTTCCCCTAGATTCTCCGAGACAGTTTATTTTCATACAATTTCCAAATAGCCATTTCTATACTTCCCATGTAGTTAAACATGCTTGCAAGTGACCCGAAATGTAATCACATTTTTTGGCTGATTTGAATTTATTCAAGCTATTTAAATATGTGAAAATGTGCTCTATTCAGCTTTACAAGACGCATTCATGACAGATTTCTGTTTGACAGTATAATCACTTCCAGTATGTCTTCTATAAAGAATTGTATCAGGAAGTACATTGTGTATTAGTAAATAATAACACTTAATACACTCAATGACTTTTCTATTATGAATCAATCTCCTGCCCACTTGTGGTCAACCTTTCTATCTTATTAGAGCCCACTACTCATTTTTTTCCAGTCCATTCATAACAGTTACGGTTTTCAAATGTCATGAGAGTGATATATAATAACCCTCATGCTCCTGTCTATTCTCCCTCTTTCACACCACACTTAAAGTCTCCTTTAACGCCTGATGTGTGTGTAGAGACCTGTGATTCTCTCAACACCAGCCTGGCCTCGCTGGCCCAGTCTGAACACAGCGACAGTCCACAGCACGAGTCTGAGACTTTAGAGCGAATCGAAGCTTTGACTGGGGTAAGACACCAGTGAAGGACACTGCTGCATGCTGCTGTGTCTGCGTGTTTGTGTCGTCTCACACCGTCTCTGAACTCAAACCTAAAACGGAGAAAGACCTGAACCCTTCTGACCCTGACTTATAACAGTTAGTCGTTTCCAGAGTGTTAACAAGGGACATAATGTGTAATGCTGTGTAAATGTAATGCAAGTAGTCTGGCATTTAAAGACCTCTGTAAGGTGGCTGCTACAGTTTCAGCTGTGTGTTGTTGAATTTGTTGTGCTGTTGTTGGGCTTTCCCTCACTATCTTGGTTCCTTCACAGCAGTGGAGAAAGCGGGCCCTATTCCTGAAGTTTCGTTCCAGGGTATGGCATGGTAAAACAGGCTTGTGATGTGATGCAACTTCATGCATATGTCTGGCTGCAAGCCTTTCTTTCTTTCTTGTCTTTCCCTTGTTGAATTTCTCCACTGACATTAGATGTTCAGAGAATACATTTTGGACATCAGAGCTGAAATCAATACACATTTCTTAGAAGAGAGCTGACACTGGCTTTTAGAGAGCACTTGTTACTGCAGAGAGCAATAGAAAAACGCAGCATGAGCTATGTGTTGATGCATCATAGGAGTTCATTAAAAATGGAAAAGGCGTTTTCACTTGCTTTGTTCTCACCTTTGATAATTGTCCACTTGACTGAAGAGAAATCAACAGCCTGCTGGTGTTAAAGCATAATTAGAAAGTGCACACTCCCACACAAATGCACCATTTACTGTATCTGTCATTTGCCCAGCTTTTTTTGTGTGTGTGCATTTACGTGTGTTCAGTGTATACAGTCTATACTGTAATCATGACCCTGCCCAGTGCTCATGACAGGACTGCTCTTTGCTGTGGCTAACCATGTAACGTACTGTAGGCTTCTTCTTTTGAATACTCTAAAATGTGGTGGTATTTAAACTGTGTGCAGCCCATTTTTAATGAATAGTGGAACAATGACCCCCTTTATGGCAGCTAATCTTTAAGAAAAAGAACCCTGCAATAAGATACTTTGATAATCTGCCTCCCTTTACTAAAGACTACGATTTAGCTGAGACGAAGATCACTTCAAGGACTTTACGAGGGGAGGCAGCTGCATAAATGTATCTATAATGAAGAATAGAAATACAATTAGTTTAAAATGCATGCAACATTTCAAAAGGGTTGCCTCTGTGAAACTTTAGGGAGTCTCACCGTTCAAGATACCATTTTGTTTTGCAAATCTAAGTATTCGATTTTCCTTTTTTAGCTATTGAGGATTATGTGTTTGTGTTTGAAACAAATCTGGAGGTTGCATTGATGAATGAACCTATAACTTAGAGATCTAGAGGCCACTAGTTACTACATATGGCTGACAACAAATATCACGCGTTGTCGTTTTTTAAAATTAAATATATTCTGTCTAAATAATATACTAATAAACACAAAGAACAGCATTGCACCTTATTTCGTATTGTGGCCCTAAAAGTGTCATTGGCTGAAGAGAAGATGATACATTATTATACAATTAAGCAGCTGAGATCTATTTAAAATGAAAGAGGTGACCAGTTTCAAAGAAGTTATTTTTTAAACTCTTTTAGCCCCAAAATAGAGATATCTTATAGAAACCCATCCCTGAAACTAGTAGCATATTTATCTTACGGCATGTTCTACATTTACTCTCCTTAATTAAGATAAAAGACATACACATGTCAAAACACCCAGTAGTTAGGGTTTGCTCTCTAGCAGCTTTACTGAGCAGACGCGGCTCCAAGCAGATGCACCGGTTCCATGCGGCTGATCTGTAATTATGGAAAATGAGAGAGTTTTTACAGCTATGTCCCAGTTAAAGAAAGCTCCCACCCTGCCATGGTCAACATGGTCCAATCTAGTCTGGGAGGTAACGTGGACTAGCGGTTAGCACTGTGCATGATTTGGGAGAACCGCAGAAAGGTTGAACACGTACATGCATATTTTTCTACATGTTAGTACAGTATGAATCAGGGTGGTAGATTGAGCTGTAGTTTTAAAAACAGCTGTCATACTTACAGTATAGCACTGATTGGCTGAGGCAAAGTACTTGTATTGATAGTGTCCCATTTGCACTTTGTACAGTGTTGGGAAATGGTCCAGATTGTTTAATTGATTCTTTTTGAACAGTCAGACTCGGGGAGATTATACACCAGCATTCAGTTTTGTCAGAGGAAATGTCCTTATGGTGTCCGTTGACCTTTCTCCCTGAAATATGTATATCATTTAAAAAATATAACCCGATGGTCAGTGTTGTGCAGTTACATCGCTTCCCCTGACGCTGTGATCTTATTACATTAGTTAGCTAGCTGGCAGCCGCCATGCTATCCTGTGCTGATGTCATCTCTAGGAGTCTCCTCTACTTCTCTCCTTTTATCCCTCCTCCTCTGTCTCTCCCTCTCTCTCTCCTGGATATCTGAGTGAGTGAGGGCTTGTCCAGGGAGGGGAGTGGGACTGGATGGAGCCGGGGGAACAGAGGAGTGAGAGTGAGGGAGGTAGCGCTTTTAAGGCCGAAGCTTGCTCCCTGGAGAAAGGCAATTTTGCTCTATCAGACAGGCAGCCTTTCCGCTGGTGCATCATAACCATAAAAGGAGTGGACCATGGAGGTAGAGTGCTCTTCCTTTCCTCCCTATCCGTAAACTGCCAGCTCTATCGGAATTACAGTACAGAGCTATGTCATAGTATTTGTGATGCTAAATGTTAACAAATTCTCTGAATTGTCTGTGTAGGTAGCTACTGTAGTGATGACAGAACGACTGGCACATGGTTATTTTTAGCTTCCCGAACAGCTGAAGCAGCAAGCAGTCATGCCTTCCTTTCCTCCCTCAAAGCATTTCTGTGTAGTTAATTTCCCTTCAGCCCCGTGGCTGCAGAGACACACACTCAGGGGCTAGCATTTACTGGCTAGCACATGTTCTGAATGTTTTTAGCCACCAATACAGGTGTTTTTAAAGACTATAGATTACAGATTATACAGAAACAATGTTGGAGTGTTAACCCAGATATGGCTGCTGCATGTCTTTGTTGTGTGTAAATAATGTTTTTAATTAATGTGTACTCCTCTCTGCATATCCTTTGCTATGACATATAACCAAAGGTTATGGTAAATGAGTTGACTGATGACCTAAAATCAAAACATTTTATGTCATTTTCTGCATTCAATTCTGTGAACAAAGATGTCTCTAAAAGCCTATTCTCATCGTGTTCAATACATCCTGTAAATGAGACATGAGTAAAATGAAACACCACACAATAGCAGATGCCCTGCATTAAGAATGCTATTTGTGATTGGAGTGAAGATTTGATAATCAGTATTTTTGCTGATTTAGTCCAGCAGTTCCGTATGAAGTGGTTTGGTGCCTTGCTCTTTGGGTTTTGCTGCCACTGACCCATTGACTGTCTGCTGTGGTAAATGCATCCAAAGACTTGTTGAGCTGATACTGGACCTGTGTATGTGTTTAAATGTTGTGACCTTTGTTCCTTTTCCTTTTATAGATTGACAAACAACAACACAGCAAAGACTCTGTGTTCTTCCGTGATGGGGTGCGCAGGATTGATTTTGTCCTGTCCTATCTTGATGATAAAGATGGCGAGAGAAAGCAGGTAAGAAAATAAACTCTATGCCATTTTTTTTTTATATACAGTATAGTATTTCCCTAGCTTACTCTCTCCATATGTGTTGTTTTTAATTAATTATTATATTTTGTTTTGCGACAAACGTTTTTTAAGATGTATTGTTCTACTTCCAGAAGAAATGATCTTAAAGACATAATATGGCACAAAAGAGCAGCTGTAGTTATTTCCATGTTTTGACTTAAACAGTAAGAACTGTCTCTTACAAGATATCCTCAGAGTTCACAGTGTGTGTCAGCGGCATACTCCAAATACCAAAACACTGATAAAGTTAGATAAACTGTTATTTTCAGCTTGTGTCAGTAATCCTCTCCAGGAATCTCCCTGAGAAGGTCACTTCTAGAGATATACTTACAGCCCTTTTTCTTTGGAAAATTCAATTTGAAGTATTCTTTTACTTTTGCTGGCCAGATTTGTTTTGTGGCTCATCTATTATTCAGCTGTGGGGTGCTGAAAGACTTGTGTGTGACTAGTGTTTGATACGGAGCTGTTAGTCTTCACAGCTCTGTGTTATCACTCTGGAATAAGGCTGTGTGTAGCGGCCGACTCACTTTTTACCCGCAGCCCTCAGTGAGTCAGACCTCTGGCCTCTTCAGGAACTTGCTCATTTGTTCCACTGCATGAGGAAGGGCAAACGGGAGGCCAGTTCCTGTGTGTTATCCACATGTGGTGTTAAATATGACCGTAAATTTCAGCTCTAACAAGGACTGTTAGCACTCAGTGACTGCTACTTTTGCAAAGAGCTAATTGACTGTGGATCCATTCAATCTTATTGCTGTTTTGTGTATCATACCATACTGTACAATGTTATCCACATACATATTCTTCACAATTGTTTAAACATGCTTATGATTTCATGTGTAAAGGTTTCCTATTATTCAGACTCTTTCCTTTCAAACATTTATAATGTTATTTGACACTCTGTGTATTTCATTTTGTGTTTTTTTTTTTGTGGTTCTAGACAATTTGATGCCCTAGGCGAGATTTTAGCAGATTTTTCTTCTTATATCCGTTAGAGCAGCTAGCACCAGATGCTAATAACCACAGCGCCGGTACCGGTGCACCCTCTCTCTCTCTCCCTCGCTCCCACGCTCACTCGCACTTTGGCCGTGAGCTGCGGCTGCCTGATAAGCCAACATCCCCCACTTTCATCACTTACAGCGCCCATCGTACAGGGCAAATGAAAAGTGTAACCGGGGTGAAAAGGGTGTTACCTTAACTTAATTATGAATGTTGTCAAGGCCGAAAATTAGGATGAGCACCAACGGTCAAAAATGTTTTTTTCCCTCCCAGAGCTACCAGCGGAGCGCCCCCCCCCCCAGATCTGGTGCCCTAGGCGACCGCCTATTGATCTTATTCCATTTAATACTATGTTTTTATTTTGTTTGTTTTAAATTTCATTTGTACGTTTTGTTTTATTGTGTTTTTATTGTGTCTTAATTATGCTCTGGTGCTTTTATGACTTCTTAACATGTGGGTTCATTGATCATTGTTTTGTATGTGGATGTCTTATTGTTTTGTCAAGCACTTTGTGACTTTGTCTGTGAAAAGCGCTTTATAAATAAACTTTACTTACTTACTTACTTACTATGCCAAAAACCGGCCCTGAATGTTTGTATATGCTTTGCTTTCTTTTAAAGGAGAGGAGGAAGATGTACGAAGCTAATTTAGTGAACGTCGGCCTGGAACTGGAGACAGAAGATAAATCGGTAAAAGTCCAGTTATCATTTAATGTCTTTTGTGTGTTTATAATATGTATATATGGTTAATCATATTTTATTTAAGTAGCAACAATAAGTGTATTTTTGAAGCAGCCAAAACAAACACTGATATTTATCTTTATAGCCAATAAACCATGCATTTTTCATAAAGCCTGTAAAAGGCATTCAAGCATGTTTTTTATCACTGAATTTGATTAAGTTTATGATCCAATATCCTTGCACTCATGTCTCGCTGTCATTATATTTAGGAGTCGGACGACGGAAAGACTTATTTTGTGAAGATCCACACTCCATGGGAAGTCTTGGCCACCTACGCAGACGTGCTGAAGATCAAGGTCCCATTCAAGGTCAACGACATCCCAGACAACGGTGACATGCCCATGAACTGGCTGTCCACCCCCTTCCGTCTGCCGGAGCACATCATGCACCCCGAGCCCGACTATTTCACGGCTCCATTCGACAAGAGCAAGTCCGACTTCTTCCTCATCGATGACAAAGCGACGTTCTTCCCCCCATCTGTCCGCAACAGGATAGTAAGGATTCTTTGACCATGACTTTCTTATCTTGTTTGAGACTTTCAAATGAAACATCACTTACACATAAAATGCAGTATGCTGAGTGCATGCAGGCCATACATACTTTTTGAATAACTATTTAATAAACTTCTTCATAACTAAATGTTCTTATTGGCAAGCTTCGGAACATTTCTCCTTGTATTTCTCTCTCTGCCCAGGTCTACTACATCCTGTCCCGCTGTTCATACTTCAAGGATGAGTGCGGAGATAAAGACAAGAAGGGAATCAAGAGGTTACTCAACAACTGCACCTACACTGCTGCCTTCCCGCTGCATGATGTGAGCGTCTTTTGGTGAACTTTTAGCTTTTTAGTCTTCACTCCTTCTGTTGGATGTCCACTGTGCGGTGTTGCAATGCAATAATTAATAATTCCTTCAATGATGTTACTGTATGAAAAAGGTAGTGAACTGTGTCTCTTGTGTACGTACAGTGTAGATACTGGACAAAAGCGAAAGATGCTAATTGCGAAAGTGAGAGATACCATCTCCACAAACACTGGGCCAGATTCTTCTGTTTCTACAAGGAGCAGCCCCTCAATCTCATAAGGTACAACAACACAAACAAGAAGTCATATCTGATGTGTGTTTACTCAAAATGTGTTTAAAAGAATTAAAGGAAATGTAATTTTCCCCTTCAACAGGAAGTATTATGGGGAGAAGATAGGTATTTATTTTGCCTGGCTGGGCTTCTACACTGAGATGCTGTTGTTTGCTGCGATAGTGGGAACACTCTGTTTCGTCTATGGATTCCTCACCTTCGGTGACAACGAGTGGAGGTGAGTTTATCAAGAATACACGCCTGTATTGTTGGTTTTCAGATGTTGTTGCTTTTATTATTAGTATATAGTAATAATCACTCTCATTTCCCTACAGTAAAGAAATATGTAGTGCTGAAATCGGAGGGAATATTGTCATGTGCCCGCTGTGTGACAAGAAATGTGGCTACTGGAAACTCAACTCAACATGCAACTCCTCATGGGTAACAAATCCTGGATTATCTGCTTTTGTTAATCATTAATATGTTTTACTTTTGACTTTTAAAGTGGTTTGAAGCTAGATCTCAACAATTCATTTTCTCCTTTATCTCACTATTTCTCAAACTTGTTTTCCTTTCAGCAATCGCACCTGTTTGACAATGTGGGAACGGTGTTTTTTGCCATATTTATGGCGATTTGGGGTGAGTAAATATGCCTCTCTGCATTTTCCATTCTCTAACCCAGTGCACCACCTAGTGGGAGTTGATATATTGTTATTAAACACTGTTACTCACTATTTATTAAAGGGTCTATTCACCAAATCACAAAGAAACATATTTGTATTCACTTCGTATGCTCTGCAGTGACGCTGTTCCTGGAGTTCTGGAAGAGGCGGCAGGCTCGACTCGAGTACGAGTGGGATCTGGTGGACTTTGAAGAGGAGCAACAGCAGCTGCAGCTTCGGCCCGAGTATGAGACCAAGTGCACCAACCGCAAGCTGAACAGAATCACTCAGGTGATTGTGGGCTCATGGAATACTAATATGCTTTATGATAATGTTCTAATGTACAGATCTATGTCTGTGTAACTTTCACAGGCTTTACCAGACAAGTAGATAGCATTGGACAGATTACAGGATCTGCTGTTTTTACTGGATAACTACCCTCTTAGATGGTGGCATTCAGTCATCAAAAAGATTGTGTAAAGGGAGACCCTTTTATTATTATTATTAAAACTGTGTACATTGAGTCAGGAATGTGTAGTTAATAAAGTGACAGACACAGTGTTAAATAAACAGAAACAGGCTGCTGTAATGTGACTTGAACCACATCCCACCCATATTCAGGAAATGGAGTTGGTTCTTAACAGGACTCCCACAGATTTAATGGGGAAGTTGTTGCTGTGCTGGGCCACCGTGACACTCTGGGTAAGGGTGGCACTTAACGTGAAATGCCGCATTGTTGAGAAGGAGGTTTTGGTGTGGTGTAGTCGGTGTGGATAACAGACTTTTTTGGAAAGACCCATAGGCACGAATGTACCCCTGCACCGCATTACTGTTTGTCTGGTGGAACAGTATCTTGAAAGGCTAGCTTCAATAGGAGATGAAAGAATTGGACTGGGACTGAAACACCTACACACAGACGGCTGTGATTGGGTGACCAGGCTCTGCCTTGCATCGGAGGCTAGTGATAGTTAAAGGAACATGGCCTTTTAGAGCTGTCTTTTCAGGATATAACACTTACTCCTGTGTCCATGCTTTGCTTGCTTATGATGTAGGAAATGGAGCCGTACTTACCAATAACAAGCAAGTGTGCACGCACGTGTCTGTCTGGAGCCACAGTCCTGTTATGGGTGAGCATTGTTTCTTTGGTAAACTTGATGAATCTAAACGCTTTTCATTCCTCTACCTGTTCCTCCATCGTGTGTCTTTTTGTCTTTCCTGTCATACTGTTCATCAACTTCACTAATTCCATGTGACCAGGGCCACTATGTTTAAAGCTTTTTGAGAAATGAACCTGTTTTTAATAATTTGGGAGCTGAGATTATTGCACTTAATCTACATTTTTAAAATATGGGGGAAATTATGTCATTCTTAAAAATATGGACTATTTTAAACCAAATGCTTTTAACATACAGGCCCATAATATGACTGTTGTTACTAAGAAAATTGTGAATGTGCTAATGGGAAGATAATTCCCTTCCATTGGGAATATCTGCATTAGCATGACAGTTATTCCTTACATCTACACTATGTAGGCAATATATCATTTTTATGTGTACTTTATTTGCATGGCCTCATTTGTGTTGGTGTCTAACGTGAATCACAACGGTACGGTGTTCTCACTGTACTGTTGTGTTTTGCCATGTAGTTGTCTTTCATGTTGTCTCTGTCTCTGTCCTGAAGATCTCATTGATCATTGCCTGCATCATTGGCGTGATAGCGTACCGTCTAGCGGTTTACGCAGCCTTCGCCAGCATCATGAAGGACAATCCCACCACCAACCTGCAGGTGGTCGGCCCCTACATCACGCCACAGCTGGCCACCTCTGTCACAGCCTCCTGCATCAACTTTGTCATCATCATGATCCTCAACCTCATGTATGAGAGAGTGGCTGTTTGGATCACTGACATGGGTGAGGCTCAGAGCGTGAGAGTGAGCCAGAGTATTGCATATCTGTGTCTTTATGTATCCATTATGATCTTCATATTGATCCTGGAGTGTACAAATGTCTTCCTTTTTATTATTTATTCAAAATGTATGTTTTTATATCTTTTATTGTGGCAGAAATTCCCAAGACCCATCTGGAGTATGAGAACAAACTGACGGTGAAGATGTTCCTCTTCCAATTTGTCAACTACTATTCCTCCTGCTTCTACGTGGCTTTCTTTAAGGGCAAATTTGTCGGCTATCCTGGAAATTATGCCTATATGTTTGGCAGCTCACTGAGAAATGAAGAGGTACCAGATATACAAAAACATGACATTGTATAATATTAGCACTGGTACTTCAGCCTGGGTTTGAATTTGAGTTTGTTTCTTTCCCTTCCCTCCTCAATCTCAACCTATCTACATTCAGTGTGACCCTGGTGGCTGTTTGATTGAGTTGACCACGCAGCTGGTGATCGTGATGACGGGTAAACAGGTGTGGGGAAACATCCAGGAGGCTCTGGTCCCGTGAGTACTCCACTGAACTAACCGTCCGAACATACAGATGGTTACATTCACACTCTGTTTACAGGCTCGCATCTGCTTCACATATTTCATAGACCATGGCTGGGGTTTTTATTTCAATATCATTGATTTTATTTTGAAATTCAGCATCTGTAGTCATCCTGCATCCTGGTTTGGAAAAGTAGTGACATTAATGTCCTTCATGCATACTCTTAACACAAAATCAATAAGATTAGGACATTTAAAGAAAGATGGGTCATGTGTAGATTTTAACTTGTATCAGAAGAAAACATTTGAGTGTATATAAAATACATTTTGATGGCAAAATGTCATTCAGCTGCATCGCTTGTTGGCTCTCTCTCACATTGTTGTCATTGCTTACTGTGACACTTAAACAGAACAGAGCCGTCATTCATTTTCAGTAACAGTTGTGCTCCTGCTGAAGAGTCTGCTGTGAAAAAGCCATTCATCAGTGACTTCACAATCATTTTCCAATCTAAACGATTACAGAAATAAACCTTAACTTTTACATATTGTTACATTTGAAACAACATTTATTTAAAAACTATTCATCTCTTTACAGCTTTTATTTGTATTTCACAACAGCCTCTAACATGTTTGTTATAGGGTGAATTATGTTGCCTTTAAATGACTTCATCGCCCCCTTGTGTCCTTCAGATGGATGATGAACTGGTGGGGCAGCAGGAAGGCACGAAACCACCCAGAGAGTCTGTACAGCCGCTGGGAGCAGGACCACGACCTGCAGAGCTTCGGACAGCTCGGCCTCTTCTACGAGTATCTGGAAATGGGTAAACATTCATTACATATTCGATCCTTTACACACAAAGAGGGAGATTAAGAGACAGACTTGGCTGCAGTGAAGACCGTTTATGAGAAATCCAGTGTCTGGAGACCTGACCTAGAGCGAAACCAAGACAAACATTAGTAAGTACCTTAATATACTGCTGCCACGTAAAGGAATACACACAAACACTGATTTTAAACGCATTTGTAATGCTGGGAGACAATTAAAATTGCCTAAAGAACCCTGAGGAACTGGTTTTAAAATATAGATAGATAGATAGATGGATAAAGGATATATATTATAAGATAGATCAAATAAGACACATACACAACAGACAGATAGAAAATGATAGCTGCACTGTCCTCTGAGATTCTGCAGATGGTTGTGTTCCCTCCTCCTGTCTCTCACTATCTTCTCCCCTCTTTGTGTCCCAGTGATCCAGTTTGGTTTCATCACGCTGTTCGTCGCCTCCTTCCCCCTGGCACCCCTGTTGGCACTCATCAACAACATCATCGAGGTGAGAGTGGATGCCTGGAAGCTCACCACTCAGTTCAGACGTCCGGTGGCAGCAAAGGCTCACAGCATCGGAGCCTGGGAGGAGATCCTCAACGGGATGGCCGTTCTCTCTGTGGTCACAAATGTGAGTGCTGGACAACATCCGTGTGCTTTGAGTCTTGTCAATATCACCAAGTTGTATCTCTACTTTGCCTGACACGGTTTCTTTCCCTGCTTTCTAGGCGTTCATCGTAGCCTTCACCTCTGACATGATCCCTCGGCTCGTGTACATGTACGCCTACCAGCCGGATGGGGAGTTGAATATGAAAGGCTACATAAGCAACAGCCTGTCTTCCTTTAATATCTCTGTCATCCCAGACGTAAACAGGCCTGATGTCGACGAAAACCCTTCCTGGTTCAACACCTCGACCATCGATACCTGCAGGTGTGTGTGATTGTAATGCTCTGTGTGTGACATATAAGTGCATGTGGAGGTAGTGCATGTTTCCACTTCTATGGTAATACATCTAGTGGAAGAAGTACTCGGATTCTGTACTTGAATGAAAGTAGAAATAATATGACATAATACTCAAGTTAAAGTAATCTTTTAACTGGATTAAAAGTAGGGATTTATTACCAGCATTTAAGTATCATTTTGGAAGTTGTCCCCTTTCAGAGTGTTACATATTTCTTCCTTCTCTGTAGGTACCGTGATTACCGCTACCCCTCCGGCCACGAGAAGCAGTACACTCACACTATGCAGTTCTGGCATATTCTGGCAGCAAAGCTGGCGTTCATCATTATCATGGAGGTAAAACCAGCATCACTCACACTCAATGACAACTTGAACTGAGCTACACATTCTTACCTCGGTATACCTTTATGAAGATATTTGTCTTTTGCTCATTCCAGCTAAAAGTAAAACTAATAGGGGTGGGAATATCCAGAGGCCCCATGACATGATACTATCTTGACACTTGTGTTACCATACAATCTTTATTGCTATTTTTAACTTTTTCGCATAACATGTATTGAAATATATTGAAAGTCATTAATGTTTTTCAACTGCAAAATATGCCTTTTTGTTTTGAACAACTTCCTGCCAACTGCTGACTGACAGCTGACTTTACCAATGACCTTACCTGAAAAACTTTCTGAATAAGCAATTGTTCCCCAAAAGTTTAATTAGTATTTTCAATATCAATAGTCCATATAATCAAAGATTGTTACTTAGAGCTTGTGTAAAGCGTTTGCCAGGAAATGGCGGAACTAAAACAAACCTGCTTTCTGCTCCACAGCACGTTGCGTTCCTGGTCAAGTTCTTTGTTGCCTGGATGATTCCTGATGTTCCCTCTGACGTGAGGGCTCGAGTGAAGAGAGAGCGCTACCTGGTCCAGGAGTATCTCCATAACTATGAAGTGGAGAAGCTGAAGATCCAACTCAGCCAAAACGTCCATGAAGAGTGTAACTGCTCGCCTATGATCTACCCGTGTTTACCCAAACATGAGGTGCTGTCAGAGTGTCTCTAGCCCAGAGAGTTACTGGCTAATCCTCTGGACATGATGTAGATTACCCTGCTGGGGTATGATGATACTGACCATTACTTTGCTGTAGTGCCTGTGTGTTTTGTCCAGTACACATACACACAAAAACTAAGAACATATATATAAAAAGCCATCCCTATTCTACTAGTCTGCTGATAGTTAAAGTGCACAGAGTGGATCGACCAAGTCTCCATGCATGCTGAAACACATGTATTTAAACCTCTGGCCTACACTCTCTATGCTGCAATGAAAGCGCTGATGATAATCAACATTTGCTGTAAAAAATCCCAAAACACTGTGTCTAATCCAGACAACTACTCTTGTTTAGATATGACTATTTATTTAAGTGCCACTATAAGTAACCAAAGACTAGGTGCCTTAATTTATGACACACTTATCATTGCCAGTAGAATAACAGCCATTTAACTGAGGGCTTGCTTATTATGAGATTTTGAGTTTTCCCTTGTTTGTATGTGCAGCTATATGATATATACAGTTCCAGTATCTGTAAGTCTATATTCAATTTGAGTTTGTTTTTTGTTTGTAAAGTTACAGCAACACATTGTATTCACATTGAGGTAATCCTTACCCCTTACTCAATTTTAACAAAACTATTATCCTCTCTCTGGCAAAGTAACATTTAGATTTAATCTCATAACTGCCCAGCAGTTTCTCCAGCTTCAAATCTGACATGTGAAGTAGCTTTCTGTGAAGAGAAATCTGTGCAGCTGTTAGTACTGTGAGTGAAGGCGGCTTTTGTCCTGCAGTGGCCAGTTGTTGAGCAGCAGCAGCAGCAGCTGGTGTGTGTTGACTGTTGACAGTAAGTCCTGTGCCTGGAGATGAGGAGCGGGAAGCCCTGAGAGAGTGAAGGGATCCCTTTTTAATGTGCCTCTGTTTACCAACACGTCAGAGCTAATGAAAGCTGCCCCTACCTACTGAACTATGTTTGCTCCATTACACAAAGCACGTCAGCCATCGCCCACTTCTTGTGCTTCTGTTTTTCCTCAGCTGTGTGAAGGAAAGATACACATTATTTTTTCTTTTTTTTTGCACAAAGCACTTAATGAAACGTGATTACCAAGACGTAAACATGTCAGTGTCTTTGTCGTCATGATGCTACGCATTCATAATCAGTGTTTTGAAGCAACAATGTGTGATACTTTGTGTTCACTAATATGGAACAGGTGAAAAAGAAGTCTGAATTTGATATTTATATTGTGCTTAAATGACAACCGGGAGAAAGATGTAGCTTTTTTGTTTTGAAATTATATGAAGGACATTTCATGGCTGCCTAAATGAAAACATGTGATACTTATCTGTTGTTGAAGTATTTAAATGTTAGGTAAAATAGCTGACTGCTGTGCTACAAACTCAGGCAACGATAAATCTATGTTTGATCGTGATGCATGTAGATGAGATCCTGTTATGTTGGACAGTTTCCCTAACACATGTTCTGCGCTTAGCTAAACTATTACCTGTTGATGCCTTAACACATCTAATACCTGTGTTTTCTATTTTATTTTATTGAATATTTCTTTTCTTGAGTCTTTTTATTCTCTACTTATAATATTTCATTTGATACTATTATCGTGCTTGGGGAAAAGGTGAATCTGTTTATTGTAAGCTTTAAGTTACAATGTTATGTTTCATTCATTCGTTGCTGTAATTTTTGTAATTGTCATGTATCCAAATATGTAAAAAGACAAATCTCCAAAATAAAGTGGCTGTTCAACTTGAGTAAGTGTTGGACCTGTTTGGATCCGTCCTGCTGCCGTGGGCTCCTCTGCTGAGGACAGAAAAGTTCCCATTTACATAACAGATGGCCGAGAGAACACTGATAACTATTCAGTGTTTGTTCACACTGGTGGGTGTGTTTTACACCAAAATATGTTGGCATGATTGTTTCACTTGGCACACCGCAAAGCCACCGTTACAAAGACATGGGCAACACTCAGGTGCAGGTAGGCTGTAATGGATCACTGTCATTTAAAAAAAAATTATCTGGTTTATGACACTACAAATAACCTTAATTTTGTGTCGTAATTATGATTGTTTATAAGATTTGTTTTCTATTAGGCCAAATATTCTGTCCATATATGTTGTGTTTTTACACTGAAGCCAAAGTGTTAACAGTTAAATGCAGCTTTCGATGAAGAATAACAGGAAACACACCATCTTGTAATATGGATAAATTGAACCTCTGCCCATGACCATCCAGCCTCCAGAGGCAGCCTTCTGCGACCTGAACCCAACCCGAGGTCTCCCGCTAATCCAGCTCTACGTGATGCCCACCTTCTTCCTAACGGTGTTGATCCTGGGCCTGCCTCTCAACCTGCTCTCCCTCTGGGTCTTCTGCCGCCGGCTGGGGCGCTGGACCCGCAGCACGGTGTTCCTCTTCAACCTGACCCTGGCGGACACCTCATGGCTGCTGGCCCTGCCTTACCTCATCCACTACCACCTGGACAAGCTCTACTGGAAGCTGGGGCGGTCGTTCTGCATGACTGTGAGGTTGTTCTACCACAACTACTTCTACCTCAGCATCTTCTTCGTCACCTGCATCAGTGTGGACAGATACCTGGCCATCGTGCACCCGCTGCGCTCCCTGGTGCTGCTGGGCCGGAGGCAGACTCACCTGCTGTGTGTGGTGATGTGGGCTGCTGCTCTGCTGCTCAGCGTACCTGTTGCCACCATGACTGAGATCCAGACCTGCCCCGGGAGCAACCGCACCGTGTGCCCCATATACATATTTCTGAGCCACACTGAGGAGAGTCTCCCTTATTCCCTCATGTGTTCCATCCTTGGCTTCCTCTTCCCGCTGCTCTCCATCTGCTACTGCGGCCTGCGCAGCGTCATGGAGCTGCACAGCCGCCCCGACCCGCATCACAAGCAGCAGCGGCTCCGAGTGCGGCGCGTGTTGAGCGCCGCGCTGGTTTTCTTTGCCTTGTTTTACCTGCCCTACCACATGAGCCGTAACGCCGCCGTAGTGATGCGGGTCTTGTACCCCAACAGCCCCACCTCCTGGGGGCGCGCAGACCTGGTCTTCTCGCTGGAAATGTGCCTCTGCAGCCTGATAACCTGCATCAACCCTCTGTTCAGCTGCTTCATTGGCCGCAAGTTCAGGAAGGAGTTTCATGGCACTTTTGCGGTCATGTTTTGCCTATCTAAGAGGACCCGGATGACGGTGAGGAAAAGGCAAGGGATGTCTACTGTCACACCTGTGTGCGCATTGCCTGAAACTGATTCCTGATGAGCTGGAGAAATATAAATTAATAAAAAGTTAATGAAAATGTGTTTAAATATTTAAATAATCATATGTGTAATCACATGTTTTTATCAGTTGGAGATAAGATTAAAAAACTGCGTAAAACAATGGTTTCCAGTCTCCTTTATCTAATGTCATCTCATATCAAGGTCTCCCTTTTCCTTACACAACACTGCCTCTGCGTGGTTGATTTCATATACTGTAGGCTACTAACACATGCATGTGAATAGCGTGTCTTTCTTTCATTACGTGAGCAACAATACAATACTCCGTTTATTCAGTTTAGTGAAATTAAAGCTTTGCAATGCTTCCCCTAAGTTTTAACAATGTGAGAGTAGTAAATCAAACAAAAAACCGAGAAATAGCCGGATATGGAGGGAGGAGGGGATCATTGTTTAGTGCCTGCTGCAGCAAGTGATTGATAAGGGGTCTGCTCTCATCCTGAATAGTTTTTAATTCAGTTAAAAATGTTGTGAATGACAGTGGTTGTATAAGTGGTCATTCTCGCCTTTAACATGTATTTTGTAGTAGGCTAGTAATTGAATTAGGGGAGAGGAGCGGCAGGAGGAGGGGCGCTGCGCGGAGCTGCTGACAGGTGGAGGAGCTGTGCGCTGTCCGCGGTGCTGAACCGACTGCTACCTCACCGGAGATCCTCACCTCAGATTAGACCCGAGCTCCACTGACGTGCGCATACTGAAGATTGTCCACTTTTCCCATCTCGATTTCTCAAAGAATACTCACAAAATAATTCAACTTTCCATTTTCTGTGTTGCTGTTTTCTTATCGCTGGCTGGATCTTAAAATGGCTCTGCATGGATTAACATTGCGCAAGGCAAAAGCGGACTTATTTGACTGCTGTTTTGTGACTGTGAAACCAGCCCTTTCCGACTGAACGTGTTCCCCCATCTTTCTCCATTTTCCTGCTCATCTTTTCAGGACATCGAGACGTTTTCTGCTTGAAAGACAGCAGCACGTTATTTGGATTATTTTTTTTAACAATATGCTCATTAAGCAGCTCTTCCATTTGTTATAGTATTGTAGATTTTTAAAGATATTTTGGATATGGAGCCTGGCATGGAGAAACCTGCCCCTACCACTAAGGAGGGACTAAAACAGATCGCAGGAAAGGCCCTGGGAAAGATTTACAAGTAAGGCGAATACATTCCCAATTTCTAATTTAATCATGAGAATTATATCTGTTATAACATAGAAAAATACCCAGATGTTAAAATCAAGCGTAACATCTGCACTGGATTTAAATAAGCCTATTGCTCTTTTACAATGAAATCAAGAGGGAAATCTCTTCTTTATGAGATGAATCACGGACAGGATGCTAAAGGCAGAGTCGTGTGGCCCGAATATTTAAGGATCAGATATTTCCCTGGAGGATGATCCCCTCCACCAGCTGCTGTGTGTGTTTTTTTTAATAATTAATGAAACAGAGCGAGTCGTGACACAAGGTCGGAGGATATCTATTACCTTATGTATCCATGTGTATTAATCCAAGATCGATTGACTTCATATCAATTGACTCACTTTATTATGTATACTGTCAGAAGGACTTACATGGAATGTAATCCAAAGCAACAATCAGACTGCAAAGCAAACATTTTTAATTTAAAATCACGGTCAGGAAGCAGGGTGACGTTTTCACACATATTATATTGAATTATTTATTCACTCTGATGGGAAATGCGAATAAAATTCCTTTCGGTTGAACATTAAGCCGAAAAATACGTTTTTTTTTACACAAATCATCTGGAAACACGTATCTTTTATAAAATATGCCCAGATGAACACTTGTGCAGTTTTGTTTTTTAAATCTTTGAATGTCTTTCTGTCGTTGAACTTGATTCCATGCTGCAACACAAAAACGTGACTGGAAGCATTACAAAAAAAATCTATTCGTTTCATTTAAGATGGAGCAGGCCTGGTATTTAACTGGATGAGGCCTTCACATTTCAATGTTTAGTTTTTCTAAATGAACCTTATAATTATTCGTACACATTTGCATTGAAAGCCAAATCGGAAAGCCAAAGCCACATTTTTAAGATCTAATTAATAAAATAAAAGGGAGAAATTAACTCTGAACAACGAGGATGCTGATAATGCTGCAATGCGGTATGAAGGTTATTCTTTCCTCGTTTGCCAACAAGTATTTCTTTTACAGAATCATTGAGAATTTCCGCACGAAACGAAAAAAGGTAGTTGACTTCGTGTAAAAGGGAGCAGGCTTTGAGGGGCCTGAGCCAAATTCAATGCAGGAAATGTGACATTGTAAAGGTTTTTCGTTACAAGAGCACAGAGTAAAAATGCAAGCTTATTTCCAAGATGCAAACGTCCTAAGAGGCATATGAATAAATGCATTTGTATTAATAGTGTGTTTTTTAGCAGAAAATCAACGAAATCACACATTTCCATTTGGATAGTTATAGCTCCTTTAAATGCAGCTGAACGTGCATGGATGTTTGATTTCATAAATCCAAGTGTCAACATTTATAAACGTGTCGTGCAGGCGGTTGGAAAAGCGTCAGCAGACCACTGAGGGCATCGAGCTGACAGAGGATGGGAGACCCACGGAGGAGCAGGAGAGGAAGACCCCCCTGTGTGACTGCACGTGCTTTGGGGCCCCGCGCAGATACATCATCGCTATGCTGAGCGGCCTGGGCTTCTGCATCTCCTTCGGTATCCGGTGTAACCTGGGTGTGGCCATCGTCAGCATGGTTAATAACAGCACGATCCACCAGGACGGCAAGATCATCATCTTAGAGGTGCCTGAACACCCCGCCCCGCCACTCCACATATTTATTAAGATGAGGGCCACAGCCAATAGACTCATGATATTATGTCGTGTTCGTCTCTCCCCCTTAATTTGGTGTTCCCGGTCTGTTTTAACTGCTCTTACATTAAAATAAAAAATATGAATCATCACCAAATGTTATTTAACACCCTATAAAGCTGTGAACAGTGTCTCAGACTGGTTTATATGAATAGCTGCAGTGCAAAGAATAGACACTGAAAATGTATTCCAAAAATAACATTTTGTGGATTTTTTTAGTGTAGGCTACTTTCTGATTGGGGTTACCCATTCATTTTCTATGGCGGTCATTTTTGTAAGAACACCATCGACGGTGTAACACAGTTTACAAGAGTAAATCGGTCAGATTACCCAAACACAAGAGGAGGGTTACACTACCCTGGAGAACCTCCATTGAGCATGTGCTTTTACTTTGTATTTATTGTGCTAAGCCTTTATGTTTTATTAGTTAGAAGATGTAGTTGCCTTTCCTTTTTTAATGTTTTCAAAAGCTGATACTGTTGTGCTTTAATTCGTTGATCGATCATGTTATATAAAATGTTGTCTCTTCAAAGATTTAAGAGCTCTTAATTTAAATTAAATTAATTATGTTGTTTTTTTGTGTGTGAAAGAAAGCGAAATTCAACTGGGACCCAGAGACCGTGGGGATGATTCATGGATCGTTTTTCTGGGGCTACATAGTGACTCAGATACCAGGAGGATATATCTCCTCAAGACTGGCTGCTAACAGGTAACTGCAAGCGATATCTGGACAAAAATCTACGATAAACACTTGTATGAGGAAATAGATTTATAAATACCAGTTTTTCTTGTTGTATAAATAAACGATTATTGAAATTTACAATGAAAATGTAGGTGTAATATTTGGATATCTGATGGTTTGACGGGAGGAGTCTGACCTTACAGCAGATAGGGGATTTGGCTGATGCCCACCAGGCGTGCCTCCTCGTGTTAATGAGCTCCCATGGGACCACCGTGTCTAATCCTTTATGTTCAGAGGCATGGCAACCGCACCAGCCAAAGTGTGAAATGTGGGTCTAAGTAATGATTGTAGAATGATTTCAATGGCATTATCCAGCCTCTCCCATTATTTTACCAACAGATGATTAGTCAGCTACAATTAGACAAGGAACAGAATGCAAAAAAGGGAAATATATATGTAAAACAAATGTAGAAGAAAAAACACATTTTAACAACAATCTGTAAAATACCTGATGCAAAATCATGTTATAATATTGATGCTTTAAAAAGGTAACCAAAGGGGTCCAGTATAAGGCCTTGTACATATAGATAATATGACATTTATATTTCTCATGAGGGAAATGGAGCCAAAATAAGATGCAAATCTTTGAAGAGCTTCATCATGCCAAGTCAGCTGAGCCTTCTGCTGCAAACACCTCCTGTCCTCAATGCCAAGGAAACTGAATAACTGCCTGTGTGTGTGTGTGTGTGTGTGTGGCATCCAATTAGGATCCATCTTCCTCAGCAGTGTTTTTTGCATAGAATCATACAGTAGAACAGCGTACGCTTATGTATTGCATATCTGATGTTTTATTGTTTTTGAAGTGTCTGAATTAATACTGCTGCCATGTATTTCGAATGAATGTGTTGGTGTTGTTTTGATAATATTCTGACAAATAATCCCTACACAATGTTTATCCAGGGTTTTCGGGGCTGCCATTGTGCTGACATCCATCCTGAACATGTTCATTCCCTCTGCCGCCCGGACGCACTATGGATGTGTAATCTTTGTGAGGATATTACAAGGGTTGGTGGAGGTACGGATACACAGTTTGCACATCAGATCCTGCCTCCTTTAAAATACTCGAAACTGATGCCTCATTATTATCAAGCTGAGAGCCAAACTCGACCCCCAATGAAATTGTCCTGACATTCTGTATTTGACCACACTTTACAGAAATCCTCTTGTTCACAATAAACTCCCTGGCTCTCTATTTAAATTTGCATTGGAAAATGAAGCCCATTATGAAAAAGATCCATTTAATTATACTGTATACAATTATCATATTAGTCCACACAAAGCTAAGAGAATATGATGAATAGCAGGGCTTATGTGTGTTGGTTTACCTGGCCTAAATAGCTCCATGTTCACATAGAAACACACAGAACAAAAGAGATAAAAAGCGCTCGATTCGGGCGGCTCCCACAACTCAACAGACAAGAAAATATTTCATGGAGGGAGGCTATTATCAGACTGAAGGTCATCCTCCTTTGTGATTCTGTTTTGCTGCGTGCTGGCGCTTCAATAGCAGCTCATGACCATAGAGAGGGAGCCGCCTGCGTTCAGCACCCATCGACTTATTACTGCAAATTAAACATTAGCATTTCAGGGTGTCTCCCACTGCAAGCCCCAGCAATTTGTGTCTATCAATAGTTGATTGTATGCCACTTAGTGCATAATGAAGATTTAATAGGCGCGACTCAGGTTTTTCCCCCCGAAGTGGGCAGTCATCCTGAGTCTGCACTGACTCACACCTAACCCATTAGTCTCTATTAGAAAGGTCAGCTGCAATGCATGTCAGTTTGTTTGTTATTATTAACTACAATTTGTAGAGAACGGACCACGTCAATCAGGCAGAATCAGTTTTATTGTGTAAATTCTATTGAATGAAAGTGGACAAATAGATGTAGAATATATTGATACAGAAAGATGAGTTGCCTCAGATTGATTAAGACATATTAATATAAAATGATCTCTGTGTGTTCAGACTGTGACTGTAATATCATTTGTCTTCGTGCAGGGAGTGACTTACCCAGCCTGCCACGGGATCTGGAGTAAATGGGCTCCACCGCTGGAGAGAAGTCGTCTGGCAACCATCTCCTTCGCTGGTAAAAAGTCTACACATATCGTCATGTTTCTGTTTTCTCCTTATAGATTAACTCATCATGTTACCTTATACACTTACAAAATATTGCCCCTGAAATGTATGCAAACATGTACTGAACACATTTGTCACCATGAACTGGGACAACGCTGCTCTCTGAATAAACAGCCGGATCAGATTCTGCCTGGTCGTAATGTTTTCTCTTGTTCAGGATCCTATGCTGGTGCAGTGATAGCCATGCCTCTGGCGGGGATCCTGGTGCAGTACACTGGCTGGTCCTCTGTCTTCTATGTGTATGGTGAGTGTAACTGTATTAAAAGCACAAAAACATTTTCTTACAAATTAAAAATAAAGTTATTCTTACATCTTTTTGAACTCCAATAGCTTCAGGAGTTTTGCTGTTAGAGATTTACAGGGTCTGGTATGACAGGCAGGCTGTGTCCCTATGTTATAGCAGCTATTATCCCATAATTGTCAATTGCTGTCCCATGCAGCCAGAAACACTGTCAGTTACATCCTGTCTAGCTTTAAAATATATTCCCCCTTTTAATTCTATATTTAAGGTTTGAAAAATCATTTTTGTCAAGTCAATATTATTTGTAAAGTGCAATATCACAATACACACATTTGCCTGTTTTTAGACCCTTGCTTCAACTAAAGAAATTCCCCCATAAAAAACTATAACAGGCTAAAAGACACCTCCAGAAGAGCAACAGAGCAGGCATCCCTCTCCTATGACAGACATATGTGCAATAGATGTTGTGTGTACAGGATAGATCAACATAATACAATTACAATATGGATAATCAATTTGAAGAAAATAAAAAAGAATGTGTGTGAGTGAAATATTTAAATCCAAGACTCTTATTAAGTATTTTAGATATGTTGTTCATCATTATTACAGATATTTGGTATCTTTGCTGACTTTGGGGTCTCCATTAGAATTGAAGCCCTGAGTAATGTTTGGCTGCACAGCATGAGTTTGTAATGACTGACTAATGATCTGTTCAGGATGCTTTGGGATATTTTGGTACATTTTCTGGGTCTTGGTGTCCTATGAGAGCCCAGCGGAGCACCCGACCATCACCACCGAGGAGCGCCGCTACATCGAGGAGAGCATCGGGGAAAGTGCACAGCTGATGGGAGCGATGGAGGTGAGATCTCAAACTGTATCAATTCATTTGTACCAATAATCCACGTGCTGTACGCCCAGCTGATTCTCTGTTTGTTTGAACAGAAATACAAGACCCCCTGGAAGAAATTCTTCACTTCCATGCCCGTCTATGCAATCATCGTGGCCAACTTCTGCAGGAGCTGGACCTTTTATCTGCTCCTCATCAGCCAGCCTGCATACTTTGAAGAAGTGTTTGGATTTGAAATCAGCAAGGTAAACAAATCCCTAATAATGCTTGGTCTCAGGAAAAAATATTTTTTTAACATCATGATTACAAGTTAAGATTGTCTAACATATGAATTGCTTAATTTCAGGGCAGTTCAATTGGTATAAAATGCAAATTTAGAATGTTTTTGATGCTAATGACGATCTGTCTTATTCTGCCATGGAGTATATATTCTGATGTTCAAACAAATTTTACTCTAGATTTTGAGAAGTGTTAATCCATATTGGGATTAAATAAGGTTGCAGAAGGAACACAACTATTAAAGCGGCTGCTCTTTGAATTTACAGAGCGCTATGAGTTTTAGCTCATTGTTTGTCCGTCCTACAACTGTACTGCTTTGGTTCACTCACTTTAGGTATCTGTTTTCAGTGTTAAAACTCTAAAGGCCGCTATAGGGTCAACACCAAACTGCAGATAGACACAGTAAACTGAACGTAGTAAAGCATTAGGTAGAAGTTGGTGTGGACCAAAAACAGAGCTAAAAGAGAGTGAATCAGAAACATAAATCCAAAAGAACGATACTTTAGCTTGGTTAATGTGACAAAATATAAACTCTTAATATTTTAAACTTTTTTGAAACAAATTGTGTTATTTATCTTGTCAAATTTGAATAACCTATTGAAAAGGAAAGGGCTTTGTTACATTTCTGAACCTGCTGTCCATGAGTAAATGAGTGTAATCTTTACCCTCGCTGGAGAGTGTGATGCATGATGGTTTGGCAGATGTAATGTGGCTCAGGACGGGCTGCTGTGATTACTGCAGGTGAATTATTGCTCAGATGTGATGCTGCAGTCAGAGGTTGAAACGGACACAAAGATTGGGTCCGAGAATAGAAAGAAGAATCACTTTTGTTTTGACAGTTTCTCTGTAGTTGTCACATTTGCTTCAGACAAAGTGTTTGATGGGTTCTCAGGTTGGAATAGTGTCAGCGCTCCCTCACTTGGTCATGACCATCATCGTGCCGTTAGGAGGCATGTTAGCCGACTACCTGCGGACTCACAACATCATGTCCACCACTATGGTCCGGAAGATCATGAACTGCGGAGGTAAGGCATTGATAATCAGCTCTGTCTGTTACCATACAATTATAAAGGTGTTCCTGATTGTTGAACTCTCTTCTTGTTGTTTCTAGGGTTTGGTATGGAGGCCACTTTCTTGTTGGTGGTCGGGTTTTCTCACAGTAAGGGGGTGGCCATCTCTTTCTTAGTTCTAGCGGTGGGTTTTAGTGGATTTGCAATATCAGGTGAGTCTCAAAGCTAAATGGATTATAATTACTTTGTGTTGTTGAAAATAGCCAAAAACTTAAAATACCTGCTTTATTTTGCCTAGGTTTCAACGTCAACCATCTGGACATCGCTCCTCGCTATGCCAGCATCCTCATGGGAATTTCCAACGGGGTGGGGACTCTGTCAGGGATGGTCTGCCCTCTGATCGTGGGAGCCATGACAAAGAACAAGGTGAGCCATTCATTAGTCGTACAGTGAAGTGAATGTTTATTCAGATTTGTACTGAAAAGTGGTTTAATGTCAAGGTTTTTTTTTTATAGTAGTAAATAGTAGTTTGTTGTAAAACTGGAAAAGAAAAGAGAGACATTTTGTACAATTAATAACGCCTACTTTAAAATTCCCCCCTTCTATCATGTAAGAAAAGTTACACAGAATTGTATTACATTTTTCTTTCATGCCACTGTGTCTTTAACACTCAGAGTCCAGCTTTATCAGGACTGAGTGGGAGTAGTTTGATGAAATTTGACATATGATATTTGATATTAAAGGTCCCATGTCATGGCCATTTCTACTGATCATAATTCCATTGTTGAGGTTTCCAAACTCACATTGGTTTCTCATACAGCATCTCTGTAAAGTATGTGTATTCACCAGGTATTCACTCTCTGTCCTAAACGGCTTGTTGGAGCTCCTGTCCCCACCTCCCTGTGAGCCCAGTGTGCTCTGATTGGTCGGGACTTTGCGAGGCTCGCTGCTCAGTGAGCTGGCTTACTGGTGTGGTTTCCGGGTCGGCTATACAGCAAGACAGCGCGAAACTCATCCTGAGCACACACAAACACTCACAACCGAAGTAAAAACAATAAGTGTGGCTTGATATTGAGTAAGAAAAAGGTTTATAAACGCTGTGAGAATGGGTCTGCGGAGAGCATTTCTCCGCGATCCCAACTCGTCTATTACCAACCAGGGAGCTCTATGCAACTCAATGGGACTCCCTGTTAGTTGAAAATGTACGCTAAAGGTCCTGGTGTGTGAGGAGCTCCGCGGATTGGTCCATTTTGGTTCCGGGAACCGCATGACGTCATGCGGTTCCCGGAAGAAACAAATGGAAAAAGAGAAATCTTCAACGAGGCGTTATGGGGCAGCATAGACAGGTCTTTTCTGTGTTAGAGTTTTACTCGCTACAGGGTGTACTTTGAGGGTTTTTGACTCTGCAGACCGTTTACATGCATAAAAACCTTCATAACACACAAGGGGACGGGTAATAACCAGAAAAGCATGACATGGGACCTTTAACAGTTGCCTGGCAACCTCACAACCATCATCAGATTTTTTATTCAGATGTAGCTAAACTCAGATCGGATGCATGACTTTAAATGTGTCCAAATACTCACTTCAACCAGTGGGATGAGCACAGACAGATACAGGAATCATGTGAATCACCTTTTATATATAAACATGTGTCCCCTCTGTGTTAAGAGATTCTGAAAGTTTCAGGAAAAAAGATTCTCTCTCTTTTTGTCCTGATCCATTTATATAAAAACCTGGCTGAAAATGAGCTGATCAGATTTTGGCCACTTTATGATGTCATAAAAGACAGAGAATCAGCACTTTTGAAACAGGGCTGAAACAGAGGGGTTTATGGGATGCTGCAATGCATGATCTGTTTGGTATTTCGAGCCAAGCACTTCAGAGACATGTTTTGTATATATGTGAGACCTATAATAAAGTAATGAAAAACAGTATAATAGGGGACCTTTAAGATCCACTGCTCGACAGAAACAAGTTTTCAGAAATGACTCAACTGTTTTGTCTTTAGACCCGGGACGAGTGGCAGTACGTCTTCCTCATTGCTGCCCTGGTGCATTATGGGGGAGTGGTGTTCTATGGGATCTTTGCATCTGGGGAGAAGCAGCCATGGGCCGACCCTGAAGAAACCAGCGATGAGAAGTGCGGCTTCATTGATGAGGACGAGCTGGCCGAGGAGACGGGAGACATCACGCAGAGCTACGGCGCCATGGGGGCCCCCGCTAAAAGCTACGGGGCCACCTCGCAGCTCAACGGAGGGTGGGTGTCGGACTGGGATAAGACGGAAGAGTATGTGCAGGAGCCGGCCGGAAAGATATATTCCGAGCGCGGCTACTCTTAGAGCCGCCAGATGTGGTGAGTCTGACTCTCCATCACAGATTGCACAACATTATCTTAGATATCTAAATCCATTCTGTGTATTCAAGTAAAATGGTAACTAGTTTCAAAAAGCCAATGTAAAGGAGTAGTAAATTGCAATGCAGAACAATCCTCATTAGATGACCACATGTCTCTCATTACATCTACCTACTATAGGGCTTCACTATACAGATTGCACAGAGAGCTGCAGGCCTATGTTGTACTTCTCCTTAGGCACCCAAACCTCATCAATCTACTTGAACAACATGAGCCAGATGACACTGCAGCTGACCATCATATAGGGTCTTTCTCTGAAAAACCACTCTGATTGCACTGAAACTTTAGGTATTCTAGAACAAGATTATATTCTGTTTGTCAAGTGTGTTTTATGTACTGTATATACCTGTATACTGTTTCTGTGAGACTATTGTGAATTTTGGGTCGTTGATCTGTGTTAACATTAATATAAAAGGCCATATTTTTCATGGACAGTACCTTTTCAGGGAGATGTCTGCTTGCAAAAAAGGTCTCCCTCTCATCGGGCGAGGCCTGTAATACACTATAAGACAAAAATTGCGTGAGTGAAGTTGATCCGTAGAGTTTTAGTGTGTGTTTGTTTGCATGAATTTGCTCAGATCAATGTTTTCCGATGCAGCAGCCTCACTGTCCTTGATAGTCCTCATCCGGCTCAATGCTTTGTTCTTAGATAAGTCTTCTGCCATTATAAATAATAAAATGAACTTTCATAATCAGGTGCCAGTCGTGATGTGAGACAAATCAAAAAAGTGTTGAAGGCGATTGCTCAGAAGACATTGTTTATTGATGTTTGGTGTGCACTGCAATAAATTCTGTGTACCAGCCGCCACCCATCACATCCTGTTTGGTAATGTGACACTAGCTTGCTGTATCTAACTGTAATTGTTTTGAAGTCATGTGATGCTCAACATTAAGGTGTGTGTTTTAACAAATTACCAGTGTCTGGAGAATCCAGCTTTAGTGCTCATGATGCAAGACATATTGTTGCATCTTGACACGAGGAATGCAGTAATATATGTGAACGACCAGGGTGTTGTGATCTCTTGATGTTTCTTGGTTGTTCTCATTGTCACCAAAATTACTTTGCTGACACTTTAATATTGTCACGTTTGAGTGGACCACATGAGTTAATAGATGGCTCTTCCACCTGACTTTATTTAATATTGAACACTTTCTTCATTTGTTGTATGAAATCTGCAAGGATGTTTAAAAATATATGAATATTTAAGAATGTTTAAGATGACCAAAAGATGCTATTACGGCTTTGTGCCTAAAGTTTATGTAAACAGATAAATGTGATTTTATGGCTTCTAATATTGTGTTTAATGAAGAGGTATGTTGATGTCAAAAGTGTTGTAAAAAATACTCGTATCATTTTATAAAAAAAAACTTACCAAAAATCATGTTTTGGTCTTTCCTCGTCATCTTTTCACCTTGTCTGTTGATGTGATCTGCTTAGAGGTGGAGAGCTACTCCATATGACAATGATTATAGTTTAAGTCATTTTTTATTTTTAAAATATTGAATGGTTCCAACTTCTCAAATGTGAAGATTTGGTAATTTTTCTTAAAATAGTTTTAATGACATTTGTATTTATATTGTGGGCCTTTTTCTTTAGTTGATAGAACATCCGTGTTGTTTAAGTTTGAACTGCTGGCTGAATAATCTTTGTAAAAGGTGTAAAAGGTCAAACAAAAAAATTATAATTTACTAACAAGAAAATCTGATATTGACCAATAATGAAAATGGGCTCTTCCTCAACTAGTACAAACAATTACATTGATGAGGAAAAATAATCTAGTTTAACAGTCACAGGGGACATTTATCTGCATTGCTTACTTTTAATACTTAACTTTTCCTGATGATATTTACATTTACATAAGTACTATTTATTAATTAAGATCTTATACTATAATTTTTTACAGTGTGATATTTTTACCTTGACTTAAGTTAACTATCTAAATACTTTCCTCCACAACTGGATGTACTGTAAAACCTTATTTTAAAGGCAATCATCAGAGATGGGATCCAGACTACCACACCAGTTAACCATCTCCTCTAATCAGTGCTATGCATCTCCAATTCTCTCCAAGTTTCTCATTAGTAAATCAATGACTGAGGTCTCTGGAATCCAGGGGAGAGTATTGGACCCTGTAGCTTGGTAATTGGTAAAAGGCAATAGCAATGTTAGAGCTATTACTGGAGTGTACATCCCTACAAACCAGGATCATTGTCTGTCTTCCCAAAGAGTCCTGACTTGATATGCAGTGTAGATGGTGAGGTGTTGTGTAGCTGCACAAAGTGTGATCAGCCTGTTAAACTTGTCAGCAGCATCTCACACCTCTCTCACTTGTAGAGAAAAAATAAGGATCGGAGGCCTAACTGAAACAAACACGCATTTTGACAAACAACTGTGGCGATATTAAACCCACCCTGTTTTCCTCAGTGTGTCCTCCTCTACACCGCTGAGGTCAACAGTGTTACATGTAACATATTCAACTATTGACCCGGCTCCTGCATTAAATCGTGACAAATCAATACTGTTTAACTCTAGAGCATATTGGACTTTTAAAACAAAAATGCTTCTAATGACAGCTTGAATTCAGCAAAAGGACAAGGAAGGTCGATGAAAGGCAAAATGGGAGGATATAATATAGAAAAATACAATATGAATTATGTAGTGCATATTACAAGCTTTATAGTGGGATTGTAATTTCTAGATCCCATATGTATAGAGGAAATTGTATATTGGTATGCACAGATGCTTATATACAATACTTAACATGTTATATACAGCTCCAAGCCCCAAACTCCACATCCAGGGAGTCGTGACAGAACTGTGAGGTTTTATGACTCACAGTTCAATCTGAAGTCAGAGCTGTACAGAGTGTACAAAAAAGGTGATGAAACCGTCTGTGGCGCCTCTTTGCAGCTCTGCAGTTTGTGAAACACGACGCTCTGGATATCGACAAAGTGCAGCCTGTTAGTGAGGTGGTAAATAATTCAGGAAAGCATGGCGTCCATACATCCACGTTCATCCTTACAGCAGGAAGGACTTTCCTGGATAAATCAAAGACTGAACGTGTCTTCCAGCCTCTGCAGGTGGGCATGAGTCATATGGAGCAGATCTGAGAGCAGTCCATCATTAGAGGTCTGACCAACTTCCTGAAGGTCCTCATTATTTCAATGTGACCAACTGGTGACCATTACATTTGGTAGGTTGTCCACCTTCCTCTGACTGTAGGCCAGGGTTAATATAAGCAGGCAGCAGCCTCTTGCAACTTCGAGCCCCCCTCTCTCCTCAGGAGAAATGATAGACAGGCATGAAGTTTGTTGGGGCGGGGGTTAACGTGTTGGCCGTCAGTTTTATGCACATGATGGACAGTCTGAATCAATTAAATGTGTTCAGTACTCTGGCTCTGTGTCCACTGATGCTTCGATCACAGGAAGCGGCTCCATGTCTGAAACACTTCCCGTGGCAGCAATTACAATAAATCTCGGTTTCTCCTATCCGATTATCTCCCCGGCTGAGGAGGGAAACCATTAACGCTTTCCTCCGCCTACTCCTCGGTGCACATGTTAATTTGACAGAAAACACAATTGTGTCACCAGCCACATGGAACATGTTTTCTCATGCCTAACCAGCCGGGGCGGTCATGGCTGTTGCTCCGGTGACGTGCCTGTTGGGGCGCTCGGTAATTGGACAAAATGTGTGTGTGTCGACATTTCATTCATAGGTGGGATTCCTCTCTGCATGAACCTGCCTCTATCCTCTACCTGCAGTTGTTTGTGCAGCATCAGACTTAGTCACTGTGAGGCTTTTGGTGCTGTTTGTGTAATCCTGAGGGCAAGTGAAGGGGGATTGAGTAGTTGTCAGTCAGTGGGGCAGGTGCAGTTTGGCTCCTGGGGGACTGTAACGGGATGAGGCCCAGCCCGAATGAGTGTTTGATGACGGGGTTGGACTCCTCCCCTGGGACTCTGCCTGCTTGCAATTATCCTCCTGATCCCTTCTCTCTTCTCCAGTCTGCAGCCCAACATGTACACAGCGTTCTCGCCACACTGCTGCAGGAATATCCTTTGAATTGCTGAAATGCAACCCCCTCATATGCAAAGCGATCAAGTAATTAGAGCCCAAAAATTCAAAGCAGTATTGAAGTAATTACTGTTTTATGGCACCCCATGGCATGACATTTCACTACCTCGGGGCAATTGAATGTATACACACCTCCTCCTCCCTTGCTAACAGCTTTATTAATGTAGAGCTTGGACCCAAAATCAGTCAGTCTCACCAGACATGTTTTATGCCTCTGTCCATCCACTGCCACACAGTGATCATTTATTTCAAAGATCTCTTGTTTTGCATTCCACTTCTACTTAAGACTCTCAGTTTGGGAAGTACAACAATCCTTTTGTGATATGCTAATAGTGTCAATCTTGTTGAGCTCCAAAAAGCCACAACGAATATGAAGAATCATTATTTTGTTTCTACATTTATAAGCACCAAGCTACTGATAAACCGTACTGAGGCAGGAGAACCGTGATGCCATACAAGGGCTGCATTCTCAGTCCCGCCATGTTCAGAGGGAGAATTGCATTTTCCACGATCAGAGGGAGAGGAGGCAGATTGCTACATCCAATTGTGTTTTCTCCACAGAACTGGTCTCCTACAGTTGCATGTGAGGTAATCTATCACAGGTCCTACCATCTCCCCTCCCCCATATCACATTACGCTGACAGCTTCATACCCTCCGCTCTACAACATGCTCATATCATGCTCGTATCGCTCACAGACAAAGGATGAGTGGCTGATAAGATTTTACACGATATCCTCATTACTGGGAGTCCTTTGCTTCGAAATCTGGATAAAATGATGACAGAGTTTGCAGATAAGGGAAAATATTTTGAAGCTTAAGTTGTCTTTAAATCTCCTACCTTATGAAAAATAAGCATTATTTGACCATAAAACAGCTACAACTTAGATTCACCTTACTGAAAGGGTAGCATCTCATGATTATTCTCATAATGGACTAACTGCAGCTCTACTTTCTTTGGTTCTGCCTTGTTTCCCCACATCTTGACCCTCTCCCTCTTTTTACATCCTGTGTAAAAAAACAGTAGTGTTTCTGCAACCACAGCACCAGACTGGAGTGTCTGACAGGGCAGTTTTTACGGGATGTCCTGAGAGGACGATGTGAACTTCTTTTATCCTCCAGAAGCTGCACCAACATTTCACACAACTCAGTACATTAGTTTCCAATAATGTCCTCAAAGCTACACTGAAAAAAACCACCCAAATGAAAGCCTGAATGCCTGGTCCTCGGTGCATGCCTGGTGACGGGGGCCACTGATCATCCTGTAAGTGGGACACAGGTGTGCGGAGGGGCCCTCCTGCCAGACGCGGGGCCGGGCTGGGGCGGATTAGGCACGTGCCGAGGGAGGGCTCTACCCCCCCCCCCCCCCGCTCCGCCCCGCCCCTCAGAGGATTCCCTATTCACCACCAGATGGGGGCTGGATGTGAGTTTTAATGAATGCCATCCTTCACGCCCCTCAGCACGTCTCACTGCAGTGTGTTACCCCACGCTGACACACAACAACAATACACTGCAGAGAATCAGAAACAAGCCGAGGAGAAGACAAGAGAGCAGGAAGTACTGTACGTTTCATTTCTAATTACACACTTAAAGAAAGTGGTTTTATGAAAGACAGAAAGGCATAATATTCCTAAATTATTAAACGTACTGAAAGTAGTCTAGTTGAACTAATATAATAGATGCTACCAGCCAATGTCACACATTTAAAGTGGGCTGGTGGTTATTATGGGGCGGTGTGGCCCTCCTGTTGTTTGAAGTGATACAACCCTGTCATTTTCACCTTGCAGGTTAACAGCAGAGGGCAATTTGTTCACATCTATGGGACAAAAACTGATAGGTAAATTGCTGGTTTAGAGGGGTGGTCTATTACTTAACAACACCCTATTTTAAATGGAAAAAAAAACACCTCCACCTGGAAAGAACATCAACGATAAAATGCTTTTCTTTTTTAGTATCTTACGATAGACATGTTTTTTATCCTATAAATAATAGGTTAAACGTTTTTTCTTTTAGTATAAAGATACAGGCATAGGACTTATTTATAGGATTGTAGTTTGCAGTCAGACTAACACATCTGAATCATCATCACGGCTGCTCACTCGCTCTGCCAGTTATGTGTGAGGCTGTGATGAAGAGTGTGAAACACAACATCTAAAAATGAAGAGAATCTGTAAGGGTGAACGAAATGTGCATCTCGGTAAAATAAAGGATCAAAATTCTCAATGTAATCTCAAAATAAAAGCCTCAATTATCTCCGCACATTCTTAAATACCAGACTTGTGTAAAAGCTGATCAAACATGATGAAAATCGAAATTGCACAAATGTTCATATATTTCTATCCTCGGAGCAGATGAGATCCCTTTAATCATTTTTGGTCCCCATCCAGCTTGATGCATATGTTCTTCATTGGTTGGAAATAAATTGGTTGTGTACATGCTGCCCCTTACTCAGTGACCCTTGTCTGTCTGAACGTGAATTGCTTTCATGGCGTGTTAAACGAGCCGTGGTGGTGTTGGTGTTTCCTCCTCGCGGCGGCCGGCTCTCTAATCCGCTGTCTGCCACACTTATGTCACACACCGGCTATTGTGCAGCTTTGATTGACGACGCCCGATCTGACTAACTGATCCCTCGCCGCAGAGGTGCTCTGACACACCGGCCAGCTCTGAGATGTGTGAATTGGTAGTCAAGTCACATGACTGGCATTCAGCAAATCAACATTTTAGATTCAGAGGGAGGCAGCTTTGGGGCAAAGAGGCACTATTGACAGGTTGTGTGTGTGAAAATGAAAATGAATTGAGGTGTGTACAGTCAGAAAAGGTCAATTGGATTCCACCATGGCTATTGCTTTCTTTGCTTTTTGCAAAATGTTGATCTTCTCTTGTCTAGTTTCCCCTATTACATCAATTGCTACAGAATGATTTTAAAACAGCACATCTAAAATATAATTTGGTACTAAGGTGGGATTTATGATGATAAAGGAGCTTTATATCTCCAGAGGCCAATTTATAAAGTGTAAACTATTCACTGCCTGACATTTACTTTCCATTTAATTCAGTCACACGCTGCTTGTGAATAAAAGACAGCATGTGATGCTACCATCTGTCCAGATAGTATAAGCTGTACATTAAAAAAAAAATATTTTCATAATTTAAAGTAATAATATTTATAGTTGTAAATAAATAGGCTAGTGTTATTGATGTTGATATAAATCAAACATGTTCCAATACTCAGCAAGTGTTTATGATGTGTGATAGTTGCATACAATTATTTCATGATCATGATTGAAGAATTGAATTGAAAAGAAACCTCTGTGAATGAATTTCAGTTTGTTTTGAGTTTAGTTTTTGTATGCACTGGGACGACTGTCGATATGAATGTATACATGAATACTGAGTGTCTGTATTCATGTCTAAACCCAAGAACAAGGGCCTTACTTAACTTAAACAGTACGTTTAATTGGCCACATTATAATAGAAACTGTCTGATCAAAAGTAAAGAAGAATGTGAATATTTGATGCCAGTGTATGGTCATTCCTGGCTTTCAATAATCTGTACTAAAGACACATTGTGTTTGGTATCAAAACGTTTTGAGGTTTAATTCCCAGCTGCATTCAACCATTGCATCCAGATACAAATAGGCAAATACATGTAGCTACATCTTGGCTTCAGCTCTGAGACTGACAGTCACTTGTTTATTGCTGACAGAAGGTCTCCCCACACACTAAGACCTCTGACATCATAGTCCCCGTCAGAAATCTTCAAAACATTTAGCTCTTTCTCCACATCCTCTCTGAGAGAGGGACAGGCCGCAAACAAGGCCAGGAAATGCTCCGTAAGTCTCTGGAAGGATACGGTCCGGTTTGTGTTTGCTTGAACCCATTCACCCTCACTCATGCTGTACTCCATACTAGAGGCCCACTTTTTTAGCACATCACAGTATGCATCTCTACATTTCAGGTGTCTTTTTGCCAAGTCTATAATGAGTGTAGTAGGCAGTGCAGAACACATTTGCTGCAGCACATTTTGTTCTTTCTGCAGCCAGTCTAAGAGACAATCCTGTGAAGCAGTTTGTGCAGCAGCAGAGTTTTTCCTTGTCAGCAGAGCAGCGGCGATGGCCAGACAGAAATGTCCCGATGCTCCTTCACCCTCCTGGAGGAAAGAGTTTACAATGTGCTCTGTCCAGCTGGCCTCACCGCCTCCACTCAGCAGATCCTCCAGCCTCTCCATCAGCACGGCTCCCTGCACCTCAGCATCAGCACCTGACAAGTCTGTGAGAGGACTCAGGACTTTACAAGCAGATTTGCATTGAATGATGTGGCTACAGAAGCCAGTTACATCCTGATAGTCACTCTGCTGATTGTTTACAGGACTCGCAGTGTCAAAGAGTATCTTCATGATGGAGATGGGCAGGTCAGGATTTTTCAGCAGCCCCATCAGCAACAGGTGCTGACACTGGAAGAGGTCTGAGAAACAGATGTCAGTGTATCCAGGAAAGACAGCTCGCAAACTTTCATTTGTGAGTTCTAGCTGCTTCTCCATCACCTTCTTTATTGTGGTGTTATTGTGAAACCTGGAGAATAGGTGTTCGCAGTAGCGGGCCCAGTGAAAGGCTCTGGACAGGGTTTGTTTATCCCACTGCTCCACCGCGCTGCTTCGCGCCGCCACGGCCAGCAGCTCCGCAGTGCTGGACAGGTTTCTGAGCACCGCCTCCATGTGGCGCTCTCCCCGTTCACTGTCCAGCCTCTGAGAGCCGGTGGAGGTCGCTCACTGTGGAGGAGAGACAACTTATCCAGCTAAACATCCACCTGAGTGTCCTCTTCCCCCGAAATACCTGCTAAACATTGTTTATATTAGCTAGTGGGTTAGCAACAGGTTGGCTAACTGACATTCGAATTACAGAAGCCAACGTAGGACTTCCGGCAACACGTTTCAAAACAAAGCCCTTTCTAACAATTGTTGCTGAGGTAATATCTAGCTATACATAAAAGACAGTATGGCATACTAGAAGAGGGGTACTTAGTAGCTATAAACATAGTTGTTGTTGTTTTACTCACTTTTCTTTTCATTTTCTCACGTCCCGCTTGTGCCGCTCTCACCACTGCGCATGCGTGAGTGACTGCTGGATTTTGTTTTTTCCCTTCAAAATAAAAGCCCTAACAAAAAACATAGTTAATTAATCAGGTAACAGCAGCATTTCCATTTGATCATTTAGTTTTTAATGTTTATTTTCCAGTTATACAGTATTTATTTAATACATTCTATATTGTAGTCGATATCATTGAAACATCTAATTTAGCTTAGAAAACATTTTTTTTAATAACAGAGCACTTCAGAATGTATTTCTTGTGGCTACTTCATTGTGTTGTGTCACAACTGTAAAACGGTATCAATTAAAATAAGTTGTAGATTTGAAAAAGTCAGGGTCTTTCATGTGGCTTAAATTGCATGTGCATACAACAAATAGATAATCCATTAAATCAAAAATATTGAAGGATTTAATTTTCGGGCTGATCTGCCGAATTCTTTCTAAAAATGTCATATTGAGGCAACAGCATAAAGCGAAAAGACGAGCGAGGCTGCAGCAGGATCAAACTTCCCTCCCATCATCATCATCATCAGCAGCAGCAGAGTGTGTGAGTGTGCATGTGTGTGTGTGTGTGCAGTCAGATCCTTGTGCAAATGCGCAGCGAAAAAGACCTCCCCGGTTTGCATTGGTTCATTGTTTTGGAGTCTAACCTGTGGGTCGGTGCACCGCGGTGAAAAGCATGAAAACTGGGATCCAGCAGCTCCAAGGACGTGTGAGAGGAAGGTGTGCACCATTGAGCTGAACCCTCTGGGTGAGCACAGGTAAGGAGCATTTTTAAAGTCTCTATATTGATGAAATAAAGTTCAAACTTTGGAATGTCTTCATGCATATTCAGGTTTGAGTTTGTACCTTGTACTACTTATTCTTCTGACCAGAGGGATGTGAGCTTTGCAGATAAATGTCATATTCTGTGTTTAAAAGTTAAGTATTACTTCTTGACTGTTTACTCTTTTATTCTTGTATTTTTATATTTCTTTCAAAGCAATTCAAGGCACTTTTTTACAGAATCTGACATATTTTCTTCAGTTGCAGCTCAGAGCAATTTCTTTGGTTTTTAATTAGTGGGTGCTCTGCTGGATTTCAGTCATAACTCATCAGGCGTTCCCCCCTTGATCCTATTTTCAGAGAAGTGAAGTGTCTGTTGTGGCTGTTTTTATTTGTGACAGATGTAAAGGAGGAGACATCTTTAAAATCGTAAAGCAGTTGTAAATTAAATGTGCTGCCAAGGGTTTTACAGTAACGGGACAATACAGGCCATGACTAATTTATTGCACTAACTTCAGACATTGCAGAATGAAAGATCTGTATGGTGCAGGATAAGTGTAGACATGTTTTCAGTCTGAAATACAGTTTGTTAATGCTGAAAATGTTTACAACACAGGGTTCTTTTACTACAGGCCTGAGGCACATTTAGAACAATCTGGAATAAATCATTTTAGTATCATGGCTTATGGATGTGGAGGATTTATGCAGAAATACACACAAGCACAATCTTATTGGAAATTGTGATATACTCCTGTGCACATACAAGCATTGTTCTTTATGCATGTTATTTTGTTGAATGCAGAATCATCAGAATATTCTGCTTTTGTTGATATTTTTCGCAAGAGACTTTGAACTTTACTGACCACAGTGGATATGCTTATCCCCGACTCCCAACACTAACAGTACTTATCTGCAGTAAGCCTGCTGAGTTTAAATGGACGAATTAGCCTCCGTATCAGTTTACTGTTGTAGAGGAGAAAGGCATAAAGGGCGGTGAGGGTGGAGGACAGAGCCACTCTTGTTTTTTCTAGTTGATGTGATTCAGTCGAAATCCCCATCCATATGTCTATCCTGGAGCAATCTGCAGCCCACTGTGACAGGTTTACTGCAGTCACAAGGCTTTTCCCAGTAAGAAAATGTACATGTGTATCAGTTTGATCTAATATCTCTGGGCAATAGAGTTGAGTTATTTCTTAGTTTTAATCCTTAGCCTAAATTCTGATTCTGATTCTGAAAACTAACAAAGATGAAGCACTGAGTTCAGCAGATTGTATATGCTACATGAAGCCTACAGTAGCACAGAGATGGTGTTGGCTGTGTTTCTGGCCTGCAGTGGAAAGGTCAGGCTGCAGTGTGGTGAGAGGACCAGGTATGTTTAACAACAGCTGGTTATTTCTTTTGGACTCTTTCCTGGAACAGAAAAGGGGAATCCTGGGTGATGTTTATTCATAATCCTATTGAGAAGAATATAGCGTTTCAACTAAGATTAAGTATTTGGCTATGTGGTTCATTGACAGATGTTTACTCATAACTCCAATAAAACATGTATTTATTATTATTTAGCTTCAGAAGTAGGAGAACATAGAAAACTGTTTCCATCTGACAGTGGTGATATGTGTAATGTGCAGAAGGACTGTCTGTCACAATCAGATTTCAATTCAAGATTAATATGGCCAAAATAACTCACAATATAGATTTTATCTTGATATTAATTAATATAACACAGGGAGAAGAAAAATCTAATTATTTTTAACTTGTTTGTTGTGAATGTTGTCTTTCTTTTGGCAAATGAATAACATTCACAAGAAGAGCGTAGGGAGGTGGAGAGAGAGTCTGTTACCATAATTGTACAAAATGTAACATTCAAAATGACACTATATTACATCGGATAGTGAAAAGGCAGCAAGAAAAACCTCCAAAATCCAAAAATCCATAGTGGACATATGCAAAGACAATATTATTATATATGCATTGTTAACATAATATCAATAGTTCATATTCTAAATATCTCATTTATCATCAATACTGGTATCTCAACAGCATATTAAAAGATATTCAAAGAATAACTGAAACATATTTCATATCATATCTTCATTGTGCAAGAAAAAAAGTATCTTTTATGTTTCCTGTCAAGGACATTATGTTTTTATGGACAGCGGTGAACGTATGAATGGGCCTTGTACTGTGGGACATGAATCCCAGTGCCCTTGTTCTGTCCGTCAGCCTGCCGTGGACGGGGGAATGTTGCACCTGTGTGTGAGTGCTGAGCTCCGGGGTTTAGTGTGTGTACGCAACGAGGAGCTCTTGTCTTCAGGAAGATAAGACAACCTTGGACGGACATCAAGGTCCTGAGGTCCTGCGTTGCACCACAGTGTGATTCGGGTACAGCCAGCTCCAGAGGGACCTTGAAATGTTACACCGCTTTTTAAGGTCAGATTCCTCACATTGTGTGACACTCCCTCAGTATTCAGAGGACATTTGTAGCTATCACACACTATGAAGTAATTGTTCATGCAGCTATGCTTCCTTCGTTTGATAAACTCCTCTTGTAATTTGCATCAAATATCCTGTTGCTACAGTATTTGCCTACTATGTATGATGTTCCTGCGTGTGTCCAAGCTGCCTGGCTGGAGGCATCACTTTTTAGATGCAGCAACTTGATTCCATTGTTAACATGTGTAGTATGTTTGGCCCACTTATCACACAATTGATAAGGTGGAACAAAATCATCTTTCAAAACGTCATCCATGTCTTTGTAATGACAGAAGACCATGCTTTTGTGATGCATTACAAACACTTTTTTACAACAACCCAACATTTAAACAATCCATAAAGACTCTTTGCTTATGTATTCATATTTCTGTCTTCTAACTTGTTAAAATGATGTCCACACATACACTCTTCATGTCAGATCTTACATCTGGTGCCCAGTTGTTTGGTCAGTTACTCACTGCACTAATGGAGTGACACTGGATTGTTATGTGAAAGATTTTCACTTTACAGCTCAGACAAAAAACCTTGGCACACTGCAGCGAGATATTGGAAAAAGACTGCGAGGAATGTCTCATTTACTCATTGACTTCACTTTGCAGGCAGTGAGAAGCTGTTAAATGTCGCTCTGAATATTGATGTCAAACACAGTCTCTCCATCAAGCTGTAATGTAAGGCCTGCTGCTGTTCCTGCTGGATGGGATTGATTTAGTCTCTATGATAGACTGTATCTGTAATATGAAGGAGCTCTTTGTTTGTGTCTGCTGATTGTTGAATAAAAGTCCAACTGTAAGTGTCTCACTGGTATACAAGTGGCTCTTGTCCAGTGAAGAGGCGGACAGGAACTGTGCTGTCTCATGTTATCAGGTGGATGTAAATCAAACCAGGATTTGGCCAAAAGTACAAAAGCCTCAGATCGCTTTCATTCATTTGATCCTCCTCTGTGAAATATTTGGCCACCTGAATGTCAGATGTTGTGGAGAAATTATAATTTAGGTTATTAGTGTAAAACAAACATGTTCAGGTGTTTTTTTCTCCAAAAGTGATTCTAACTGTCATCATATTAAGCCTATGTCACAACCCTTACAAAAGGGTTTTATAAACAACTACAGTGTATTTGTATGTAGACTATCTGAATTAGATTATCGGTCTTTTGTCAGAAGATATTCTTCAATGTATTTTTGGAAGAACTTACTGCACATTTGCTGTACTGTATTTCACAGATATTACTTACATTGTGTTTCTTATCAAATACAGTAGGCCTGCATATAGACATGTCTTAAGTTTTCTTTGCAAACTAACATTAAGGTAATAATCTTTCTTTGTTCTTTGTCTCTCTTACTTCAGGCTGTCGATAAGGAACCATGTGCAGCACCCTGAGCCCCAAACATCCCGGGGGCCCCGGCCTCACAGACATGCAGCAGTACCAGCAGTGGCTCGCCAGTCGACATGAAGCCAGCCTGCTGCCCATGAAGGAAGACCTGGCCCTGTGGCTCACGCATATTCTCGGTAGGGAAACACAGTATCAGTCCAATTAGCATTAAATCACTGACTTACATTGAAAAAGTGGGCCTATAGACCCTGTTGAAATGTGTATTTTCATTTGTTGGTATGCATAAGAAGGACATGTAGCAATACACGTGATTTTCCCTCTATTATTCAGGTGCTATTTTGCTAAGTTTGTAAGCAAATACCAGGTGCTATTGCTGAGTCATTCAAATCACTGTTCTAGAAATAGCTCGGCATTTCCTCATCTTGCACATAAGTTAAACAGGTATTGCTGATGTAAACAGCTCTGCAAGGGACTGAAATCCATCTGAACCTCATTACAAACAACTTTAAAGTGCAATGTGTGAACCAGGTCCCAGGTTTGCACACTCCCTCATAGATTTTCCTTAATTGAATAATGGCCCTCATTAGGAGTTCTTGAATAATGCTCAGCCTGTGGTGGAGAATAAGCAACAGAGGGAACATCAGCAGCTTTGTGCAAGGTTGCTATTGCATAATAAATCACCCTGTGAAGTGTACTTCTTCAACAGTGCAGTCACAAAACAAATGCCAAGGCACTCTGAGGATCTGATTTAAATTTCATTACTGAATTTAATTGGGTGTGTGCAGTCCGTTAAGTTTCAGGTTAACATCTGTTGGACTCATTGTGGTTTATTATTTGAGCATCGTAAAAAATAGTTTATTTGGTAACTAAAGTCAGTTATCAATAGTTAAAGGGCAAACTTAAAGACCTTCTTCCATGAGATCCTCTAAAAGATGCTAATTTGCCGGCTCATGTGGCAACAGTGTCCTCACAAAAATGTACTCGTTAGCAAAAACAAAGTCTTACATTCCTTCCTCCGAGTGTAAGAATTCATCAATTGTTCGCTGCATTTCTAAGAGGCATCGGAATAAATGCATCAGCATTTTAAGTTTTGTTCGAGTGTATAGAAAGAAGAGAGGCAGTCTGCTGAAGCAACCAATTATTTGAGACTTTTCTTGAACTCAAATTGCAATGAATATAGTTAACATTGATCTAGTGAAAGTGAGAGGTACTCCATGGGACCTCCTGCAGATTATCATTTCTCAAGGCAACTAGAAGCCAATTCAGTTCCTGAAACTGACTCCTACCAGTGTGTGGAAAACTTAAATCAACTCCAGTATCTCGCCTGTTATCGCTGGCGGCGTGTGTGTTTGCACTGGAACCAGCCGAGCTAGAAACGTCTGGTCCGCTCGGTGAGGAATCAAGGACGAAAAAGATGTGCATCCACATGTTTACGCTACATACAGTACATAGTGGAAAATCAGTTTGTTGGTTTGACTCATGCCCTGTGTATTCAGCATCGTATAATTCTAAGAAAGATATCATGAAAACTTAGCAGAGTTTGCAGTTTTAGGTGGGAGGAGCGGTGCGTAGTAACGAATGCACTGATTGAGTGGGAGCGGGATGCGTGGTCATAATGATGAGTCATGTTGTTGTGATGGGAGCCTGAAGGAACAGAGCAATTTATAGGAGTAAGTAGAGTTGATATGTTTCCCTCTTGAATAGACTCTCCTCACACAGCCTGGAGCAAGTTAGAGTTTGAGCATATAAGACGGGCGCTCACTGAGTATTTCTCAAGATTTGAATCTCTCTTTTCTTGGCTCAATTACAACATTTGGAACTCATTAAATGTCGAACCCCCTAGACCCCTCCTCCTATAAGAAAAAGAAAAAGGGAATAAAAAAAAAAATCTCTCGGGTTTCTTTCCACAGACACCCCCCTGCCACCACCTCCCATTTCACAATGATCTAACTATGAAGGAATGGTCCTCTGGAAGTCAGTCAACTGGACACCACATGTTGATCACCAATCTATCTCTGCAACTGTGCAGGATAATGATGAATAATGCGTACAATCAGATGCCCCCTTTTCATGTGATCTTGTTGTTGCACCCCCCGCAGTGTACTACCAGAAAATCCCCCACCGATTCCCCAAAGTCAAGTTGTAATATGTGAACATTTGGCTTCTGCAGAGATGCTTAAACCCAGCAGCACAAGCCAAGCGGTTTCTGAGAGTCAATAACATTGAATCAGCTATAACTGCGACTGGACTGGAGAATACATTTTATTTCCTTATGCCGAATGCATATATTTTAAATGAGATTCTTTTTGTTGAATTTATTGCTGAACTCTTTGCTTTCTTTATGTGTCCCCTGGTCAGGTCTGGAAATCACTGCTGAGAGTTTCATGGATCGCTTAGACAATGGCTTCCTGTTGTGCCAGCTGGCTGAGACACTCCAGGAGAAGTTCAGGCAAAATAATGAAGACCTGCCTGCATCTCGCGACAAAAAGGTACCAAGAAACCTGGTGATTATAGAAGTCTAGCATGATATAGGATACAGTAAAAAAAAAACAATTTGGGAGCAAAATGTTGAAAGTGTTCAATAAATCTACAGCAGATTTATTTTTGATCATTTTGACCTACAATCACTATGGTCCTAACTATTTGAACGATCCTTCTTGATTACAAAATAATGTGAAATCCAGACGTGTTAAAAAACTCAAATCTAAGGTTAATATTAGTTTTGATTTGCCCCATAAATTATCCATTGAAACCTGCATAATTTATTGCAACCAGACTGCTTGAAGACAAGAGTATTGACGTTTTATTGACTCTCTGAAACAGGGAACAGCTATACCCTGACATCAGGTTTCCCTCAATAAGATCAATAAAATCTACACCAGCGAGTCCCTCCCATGTCGAAGAAATATACCATTGCTTAAAACTGGTGGAAAGCTTTATAACTGATATCCTTCCACATAGATCTTATTTGTTGATTGGTTTTGACAGCGACCTTAAACCCCAACTTTGCAAAGAGCTCCATGATTTCAGAAAGCACTGCACAAAGGGTGGGATGGGGGATGGGGGCTTGCAGCCTTTTGCAAAAAAGGCAAAGGAAAAATAAGGTTGGCAGCGACACATTAACGGATGGGGCCCCACATCCCCAGTGAGAATTGGCAGAACTACGTTAAATGTTCATTTCTGTGACCCTTGATTGAGGGTTTAATGAATTGTATAAGATTAAAGGGTAACCCTGCAAGTTGTAATCAGATATTTTACTGGGTCAGTGCTCAAGAAAACAGAGCAATTAGGGTTAAAAAACCCAGATTGTATCAGCTACTTCGAAAGGGTTCCAAGTCTTCAGTTTATTTCTGACAAGTCAGAGTAAAACATTTAAATATTGTTCGTTTTCAGCATTTTTGCGTTGACCTTCTAGAAATGTATTTTACTTCAAAGCCTTCAAATAGTTTGAAGTTTGGCTTAATAAGAGTTTAAGATATTCATACTGACTTACACATTGAACATGAGGTCTGCTCAGTGGGGTCATATGTTTCCGACAGGGGGAAACTCTGATTAGTTCCTGTTGAGAGGAAAGGAAGCAAAAGACTCTTTTGTTGGCTCTTTGTTGATGTTTGAACTGAGGCATTACTGTGCTCCCTGATGCTACTGATGACGGTGAGTCTCCTGATCTCAGTGTGAGTGTAGAAGCACAGATGTGAGGAAATGCTTGAGGTCAGCGACCGTGGGACGGCAGATGATCCACTGAAATAGAGGGGCCTATTGATCGTGGAGGCCAACAGCCAGAGTCCTGGGGCAAATAAAAAAGGAGAGAGTGGTCGACACTGACCTGCGACTCATGCTAAACAATCAAACAAAGTTGCATTATGATGATTAATAGTTTGTCCTTACAGCTACCATTAAGCACTTTCAGTTTAATGTGCCTTTAAAAGATTAACCAGGTTCACCATGCCTGATGTCATTTAAGGTTTATGATTCATATCAAACAATTGTTGCTTTTTCAGCTTCTCATTCTTTATTAGGCTACAGTTGTTTACTGTTATGTTTTACTACTTTAAAGAGGACTCACATCTGTTTTAAAGCTCATTATAAGTTGTGTATGTGGAGAGGGACTAAGTGATTCCAGCAGAGAGAAACAATAAATCCCTTTGTACATGCTGTCTCTCGCACATCTTCCCACATGTTTACATCAATCAATATCAGATTATATTTATTTCTTGTCAACTCCTGTCATGTGACACAACCTAAATTATTGTTATAATTTATGACCATACATACAACATTTTGAGATAAAGTATCATTTTAGGATATACGCCTATTTGCTTCTTGCTGAGAATGACATGAGAAGATTTAAACCACTTCAGCATCTGTTCATTAAATGTTATGCTAAAGTGTACGGCCAACACTTGGTTAGTTTAACTTAAATAGCTAGCTTGTCAATGTCCAAAGTGGCAAATCTGCCTACCATCAATGCTAAAGTGAACTAAAAGGGGTTTCATGTCGATTATTTCTTGGCAGGCAACCAGCCGAGACTCCACAAAGTTACTGCGCAGGAAATAGTTTGCACAAAACCCCCAAAGATCTAGAGATGCTGGTAGATGGATATTATTAACCGATGCCAGGCTAGCCATTTCATTCTGTTTCAAGTCTTTATGCTAAGCTAAGCTATCTGGCTGCTTAAAGATGGGCAATGGTATAATCTCCACTAACTCTCAGCAAAAAGCAAACAACAGCATTAAAGCATTATAAAATGCCAAACTATTCCATTAAAGTGTTCAACAATTGTAAAAGTTATTACTTTTTCTGATTGAAAGGAAATTATGGGATTTCTAGGCATTGTACTAATCATTCATTCCCAACCATTTAAACATAATGTCTTCTATAAGTACTGTGCCTTCTGTGCAATTATTAGATAGGTAAAGATGCACATAATTCAGCAAGCCGCCACAGAAACAACAACGTGGCATTTTGATTGTTAGATCAAACTAAACTGGCAATGTGGTCGACATTATTCCTCTAGGAATGCAAAGTAATTCAACAACAGAAAGGATCCCAGAAAAAGTCAAAAGGAGAGCCTGGAAAGAAAAGAAAAATACCCACAAAAGCCTACATATTTCCAGCATGAGCTCATTGCACCTTTCTCATAGCACCGACGCACATATCCTGTATAAAACCACAGCGAGGCGCATAAATCTCCCCGAACAGACCGTGTGGGGGCTGAAACCCATAAGCTTGTCATTTGATCCCAAATCATAGAAGGCCTGGTGAAGTAGCTCCACTTTTCTAACACGCCATCTCCCATATTGATCTGTATAAGGCCCTTGATCTGGAGCCGAAAGCAGCAGATGGAGAATAAATCAGTGTAGATAGGAAGTATGTGGCTCTATTCTTTGATGGAAACTCAGGGGGTTGGGTTGGGCAAGTCACAAGGGCAGACCTTTGTTTTTTCCAATGTCAAACAAAAAGTAAAAGTTCATTTGTAGCTTATTTGTCAATGAATATTTCTTTCTGCTGAGGTTAATTTGCATGACTTGCATTTATAAAGCGCTTTTCTTTCAAAGTGCCTTTACTTTCTATGCCATTTACCCATTCAAACACACATTCACTAATGGCAGGCCATAACTGCCCATTATCCAATGTAAAGCTCATTTATTCACACTCGCACAACGATACGGGTGCAATTTGTGGTTCATTATCATACCCAAGGACACTTCAGGGACCAGGGATGGAAACCACCAGTCTACCGATTACTGGAGCTCTACCTCCTTAACGGCGCCTGTACATGAAGTACATGAAGTACTTGGAGTTGAAGTCTTCTAACCCTTCTATGTCTCCAGCATAGTATTCCCTCTCGGAGGATACCTTGTCGGCAGAGCGCTCCCTCTGGTTCCTTCTTTGCACGGGACAACACGGCCAACTTCCTGTCCTGGTGTCGTAAGGTTGGAGTTGGAGAAACATGTCTGTTTGAATCGGAGGATTTAGGTAAGTTTACTATTTTTCTGCCATAAACATCATAACACTATGAAATCTGAATGTTAGACAAAAAAGGGCAGTCTATAAACACCACACAATTTGCCTCACTGGCACTACCAGGGCATTGGAATCAAATGTCTTTCTCCTGTGAATGGCGTGATTGTTCAGGTAGAGTATCACGCAGGTTGGACTGAATCCCAGATCGTGCTTTAACTCTTTTGACATTTACACAAAGCTCACAAGGGCAGCAGTCTGTTGGGAGCATCTCTACCATGGAGATAAGGATGTGTGCATCTTGAATACTCCTGCACCAATCCTCAGGAGTAAAACAAAGGCAGCACAGTCAGAAGGGTGTGAGTTGGAGAGAAAGTAGGCCAACACTATGCAAATGTTTTCCTCAGCCCATTTCTGCTCTCTTCCTCATTCACACACTCTGCTATCAATGTCCCTTCTATCTATTGCAAGGATTTTTTTGAGTGTTACAGTATGTCACTGAAATGTGCTCTCTGTTAAGAAATGTCTGGACTGAAATGTTTCCCTTATGATCAGAAGGACAGCATGCAGCCTTGCAAGTAACTGAAATACCGAGAATATTCCTACATTCCTGTGATGTCTGACTAATGGCTACTAGGCCATCGCTATGCAATTTCAACTATGCAAATCATTGCTGAAAGCCAAGTCACTCACACACATTAGTTCATCAACACTGCAACTTCACACGCGGTGAATTGTGATATAAAATGTTGTGAAAAGACTTTAGAAAACAGTAACAGCTGTCTTCTTTCTTTCTCTCTTTCTTCTGTTATTTCTCTGGATGGATTTATCAGTTCAGCAGTAGATGTAACAACACCAGGTTTGCTATCATGCAGTCAATATTGTGTCTGTAAAGCACGGTGTGGTGTGTCACATGTATCACACATCTTGTCTCACTGTCTGCTCATATATTTATTGGGATGCGGTGTAAATAAACACCTCAAGCCATAGCTTACACCTCCATTCTGAGCAACAATCATCTGAGATACACAGAATTGCGGAGGAGAGTATCATTTGAATGCATGAAGTTCATGAGCTCATTTGTATGTGCATTTCACCATCACATAGCTACTCATTCTTACTCATTACCTTTTTCCAGATACCATACAATGTCCATTTGATGTAAAGCTCAAACTTGATCTCTTCCTATAGTTCTTCATAAGCAGCCCCGAGAAGTGTGTCTCTGTCTTCTAGAGTTGGGACGGATAGCATCACGGTATGATCATGCTTTTAAAAAAATCCATACCATCCCTTTCTTATTTCTTCACTTATAGAATGACATCACTCGTTGTTTCCTTGGTGTAGGTACAACGTGGAGCCTCCTGGCCTCATAAAACTGGAGAAAGAGATTGAACAGGAAGAAAAAGCTCCTCCACCACCTCCATCACCTGTATCCCCAGCACCGCCCCTTCCTTCCTCTCCCTCTTTATCTCCCTCCCCGTCTCCTACCCCATCACCGACTCCAACTAAAGTCGCCTCCAGCAAGAAAAGCACAGGGAAGCTGTTGGATGATGCTGTGAGTCAGCCTTAAATACCCTCTGTTTCAACTTATAATACCAGTAACTACACATCTTTCATTTATTTTATTTTTTATGTTTTACAGGTGAGGCATATTTCCAATGATCCCCCCTGCAGATGTCCGAACAAATTCTGTGTAGAGAGACATTCCCAGGGTCGATACCGTGTTGGGGAGAAGATGCTTTTCATCCGGGTGAGTTATTGACAGTAAAATTAAAGTAATAATTGTGTTCAAGAGTATTTAAAAAAAGTTGAAAATTGACCTGCCTAATGAGTACTTTAAGTATTTACAATAAAGTTGAAATATTTTAATCAGAATTAAATATTTGAACATCAAATAGCTACTTTTAGTTGCTGTAAGTAAAGAGTCTAAATACTTTGTCCTGCTTCATACTGTACTTAATATACTGTTTGCGAACTTATTGGTCACCTATGCATCTTTGATTGAAAAAGTAAATAATAAATGAAAATGCTTGATATCTATCATTGAGTAAAAAGTATACTACTGCCCAATAAAATGCAGTACCTCATGCAAGTGCCCGTGTCTATAAAATGAACAGGGCTGGAGATGTACTTTTCTCAGTTTATTACTCCTTGTTTTTTAATGGGTTGCAATATTTATTAAAAAAACAAAAGGACAGAGAAAAACCTCACAAAAAGTTCACACTATTGCTCATCAAATTTCCTCCATTCTATTCATTTTTAAATCAGTTGGTGGTTGATAACAATAAGGTCTCACGCTGCAGTGCCAGCCTCTCTGCGTTCACACAGCGTATGGCAGTGTGTTGATACTTGGGGCTTTGCGATGAAAGTAAGCCTTTGTGTCTGGAGAGCCGCCTTCGTGAGGTCTCATATACTGGTAATGGTATGCAGACAATGTCCATCTTCAGCCAAACACAATGTGACTTACCGGCTATAAAAGGGAAAATAACACCCACGTCTTTCCATATGATCCAAAGTTATTACTAGGAAAATATTTAACTGAGCTTCATCACTCAATGCTGGCCGTAGCATTAATTGCATCTTATAATGACACTGAATCCGTCAGCCCAGGAAATGTAACTCGACTCTCTCTGAGTGGAGGGATAAAGGATGTTGGAGGAGGATAAATGGAGGCTAACACAGATTCAGATTAAAGAGGTAGCATTGGTCCCCTTGGGATCCTGGTTACTTGGCAACCCACAACCAGGATTCACACCTCTAAGAATGTGATTCATGCGGTCGGTATGCTCCGGGTGTGGAGACGTTCAAAAGAGAGTTTACTCGTGGATGTCCTCTGCTGTCAGCACATCACACTGCAACTAAGAATGTCAAATCTCGCCCAAATCTCAGTCAGTGTGAGGTTTAGATTAACAATTATGTTTTAAAATATTAGTTAAGACATGAAGACTCTACTTTCCTGCTTATATAACATGTGATGCTGTATTATTCTGAATATGTATCAGATTTGTGATTTATGTATCACTTTATGCTCGTCCAAAGACTGAATGCTTCTGAATTCCTTGTGTTGCTGAGCAACCAAGGACACATTTTTGAGAGTGTTGGTCCGACGCAGCCTGCCTATTGTTATGTAGTCCACACTACCTTGTGTGGGCTTCTTTGTATAACATGTAGTTTTCCTTTTTTATTTCTTACTTCTGTGTAAGCTCAACTCAATTTATCTGTGTTTTCTTTTTTATATTTGAATATTTGTATACATTTTCTGTTTGTGTAGCATAGAGTAGGTATACAACTACATTTTACTGTGCAATCCTGCATGGTATAATAGAGTTGAACCTTAAACCTTTAAGATCTGTACAATATATGACTTGCTTTATTCGTAGACCATTGATTTGAATGAGAAAAATCTCCCCACAAAAAAGCTTTTAATTGGGGAAAAAGAAGGAAACCTCAGGCAGGCCAGCCGTTTGGAATTATGCACATGGGAATAACATTTTCCAAATTGGGTCCTTCATCCAAGGCTCCAGACTTATTTATTTCACCACGGTCCCACAACCGTCTGAGAAATGATTAACCATCCCAAAGTGTAAACCGGCAAAACTTCTAAATGTTTTGCTTTTATTCCGTTATTGTCATCTGAAGTGATTATTTGTATAAAAACACACAATTTATTCTATTTTAATTTGAATGCTTTCATTAAAATAAATCTTTCCGCAGGATTTATTAGTTGCTTTGAGTTAGTGATAAATAAAATAATTCCTTTAGCAGTATCTTTTCAATATTGCTTTAAAAACACTTCCTTCAAACAACTTATGTGTTTCAGCTTGTTGCCCGAAACTAAATGATAGCCTTCACTATAACATGAATAGAGCTTGAATGCATCATAATGTATCTCAATGGAGCTGCATTAGCGTTAGCTTTTAGTTTGTTATTAAGCTAAGCTAAGGACTTTGCTGCTAACAGCTGACAGCTAATGTTAAGTAGCAATGTTATCACCGTAGACCTATAACCCTTCCTGGGCATTAGGCCAGGGTCATATGTACCCTCTGACCCCCACTGATGGCAACTTTGGCTAGAAGACAGAAGTCACAGTAAAATTACACATGTGTATTACCATGCGTTATAAAGTGTACTCACAGATACATTGTGTGAGATATGTATTTTGATCAGACCAAAGAACCTCTATCCCTTTGTCTCTCAGCCAGCAGCCTTCACAGTCAAAATGCTTTAATTAAAATTCCTCCAGTGGTATTACCCTCCAGCAGCTGCTTCCACTGAAAAGGAATACAGTGAGGTCTGTAGGCAGCCATGGAGCAAGGACAATAGTGGGATGCAGCGCCCATAAGGGTCTACTCCACAATTATCTGTACAGGCCTGAGACTGACCTTCTCAGCTCCTGGAACAAATTAGGTGGCTGTAGCCCTAACAAGGGGGCAGAGTAACAATCGCAGGTTTTGTGAGAAGTGCTGTCCGAGCTCGGCCCCGGGCCTCTGTCCTTCTCTGGGCTGCTGGTCTCGTCCCAAAGCAGCATGATTGAAACCCTCTGCATGGCACAGGTCCATTAAATTCACAGTCACACAGCCTGAAGGCCTGGTGCTGGTGATTGGAAGCGCTGCCCCACTGGTGCCCTTTTGATTGATTCTTCTGAGAGGCTTATAAATGTTGCATGTTTTGCTGCTGGAGGGCGGACTGAGGTGACAATCGCATGAGGTGGTTTACCCTTTTTATCAAACGATTCAGCTTTGTATTTGTCTGAATCACACTCCTACTGATTTTGTTTTAAGGACTAATATAGCATCATTAAAATCTTAATATTGACATGTTACTCCCTATTTTATCAGAGATGGGCCTCGCTAAACAAGCGTGTTTTAGTAGAGGTGTAATGTCGTGTTAATGAGGCAGGGAGGTGATAACGCTCCATACTGAGGCGGACATCTTTTATGTGCACAGCCTCTGGGGAATGCGAGTGTCGGCGCATCCAATATATCAGAGCCCTTATTTTCTCCGCTCTCTATTATAACGGCCAACGTTGCCATGGTACCCAACCTTGAGAATGGGTGGCAGGTGGCAACATTCAAAGTAAATGTTGAACGATGAAGAAACACTGCATGTTAAACGTTGGTTAAGAGTGGATTTGTAAATTGATGATAAAGATGTCATTTGTCTGAATGTTTTTTAGCCAGGCTAACTGTGTGTGTGTGTGTGTGTGTGTGTGTGTGTGTGTGTGTGTGTGTGTGTGTGTGTGTGTGTGTGTGTGTGTGTGTGTGTGTGTGTGTGTGTGTGTGTGTGTGTGTGTGTGTGTGTGTGTGTGTGTGTGTGTGTGTGTGTGTGTGTGTGTGTGTGTGTGTGTGTGTGTGTGTGTGTGTGTGTGTGTGTGTGTGTGTGTCAGGCAGTCGTCCACTTTGGTTAAAACTGAAACATCTCAACACCTATTGATTAGACTGCTATGTCATTTCATACAGCTGTTCATGATCCCCAGATGTTCAAACTTTTCAAACTTTTGGGAAAATCTGCCTTTAATCTATTGCCATTATCAGTGAAATAAATAATACAAGAACATGTATATGCCCAATACTTCCAATACTACAGTACCTGCAAAACAAATGACATGTGCATGACATGTAATGCATGAGCCTCAGCTGTGTTTAAGGCTAGTGAGCAAATAATAAAAAAATAAAATAAATAATGATTTCTCTCCGACAGCATACCACTGTAAAATAAGATGGTAATCATTGTACAAACTATTCCTATAGCATTAGCTTTTAAAAATGCTTCATTAACTTAGCTGAAACCAGTGCAGGGGCAGGGTACACTAGACACTAGCATGGAAGTGTTGCTTATTATGTAATTTCACAAATACAATTGTGAGAGAAATCAATCATTGTGAGTTTGTTAGTCTTCTCAACATGGCATTGTGCTGGTGAGAGATGGATAGAGCTCCTCTCAGGGGAAAAACTGTCCAGTCTGAGGCCCCTAACATCAATCAACAACCTCTGACATCAAGGCTATGCTTAAGTGTTCATTCAGCTTCTGCCTGAGGACCAAAGCCTTAATCAGTGAAATGACATTAGTGCTATTGAAGGAAGGGGCTCAGCAACAACCATTTAAAGCTCTCCTTTGACATAGCAACATCAGAAGTGACACTGTAATCCTATTTCTCTCTGCAGATGCTGCACGACAAGCACGTGATGGTGCGTGTTGGCGGAGGCTGGGAGACTTTTGAGAGCTATTTGATGAAACACGATCCGTGCCGCATGCTCCAAATCTCCCGGGTGGAGGGCAAGTCGTCCCCGATCTGCACCAAGTCTCCCAACATCAAGGACCTCTCCCCTGACAGTTACCTGGTGGTGGCCTCCCACTACCGCAGCAAGAAGTGAAGACATGAGACTGAAACTCTTCATTCATAAAAGGAGGGGGACTTCCTGCCATTGTTTACTCTCTTATGGACGTGGCTATATAACCTGTCCCTGTTATTTTACTTATTATGGCTACAGACACAACTGGTGTGTGTGATAGTAGACAGCAGTTAGACAATTTCCCTGAGCTTAATGTTTTGTTTACCCCATTTTTTGATTTGCCTTTTGGCTGATATTGTAATTCTTATTGCCTTAACAGTACATGAAATACTCAGACGGATTTACTGGTCCTCACACAAATTGCAAATTAAACTATATATATATGACATTTGAAGAATAGGTGGAAACTTTACAGTCCAAAGAAATATACTTTACAAACTATTTACATGTCCCATAGAAACCAAACTGGTCATAAAATGTTATGGCCCTTTTCTTCATGATGTATTTTTTTATTAGGCTTAAGCAGAGCTTAGACTGTTTACATGTTGAATGATTCTTCAATGAAATGCATTTTTATACTATTTCCATTTTTTCTTTACTCATTATTCATTATTAGGATTGCTCCTGTTTTATATCATTTCTATTGTAAGTGCATGAGCAATCACCCGTTGCACAAGTTGCAACATGTAGTGAAACAGATCCTCATTGATTTAGGATTGATAATTATATAGTCTTACTTTGAGGTTTTGCAATTCTTCAATTTGTTGTGTATTACTGACCTCTAGAGGTAGTGCAGTCATTTAAACTTGAACATCTCAATTCAGTTTCTTACAATTAATAGATTCACACCTCATCATTCAATTTAATTGTTTGTGACATTTTTACCTGGAAAATGAATATATTTTTGGCATGAGATCACTTGCTATGCAAACAGCTTTGTATGTAAAGTAGATGGGTCCAATTTCTGTTTTAGATGTACATTTTCAATAAATTTGAATCTTCATAATTTGAAATATCTATCTTGTTTGTACATTTTTTCATTAGGACTGGGTACGTTTTCTGACCCAAAGCTCAAATCGTAAGTAGCCATTTGACGTGTAGACTAGTGTGTTCAACTGAGTGTGCTTTATATACTGGCTAGTATATATTCATAGGATGTTGCAAATGTCCTTACTGATCATTTTAACCAAATCTAACTTATCTTAACTTTCTGTAAAACTGTAATTCACATAGAGTCCACACAAGAGTAGCAGAAATTTAATTTATTGTAGCAAATAACATTGGCTATATGTGCTGTTCTACAAAATGGTAGGAGCACCAGAAGCCTTTAAGGATCAAGTGAAGGCTTTAAGAAATGCACTTAGTTAAGCACGTCAAAGTAAATACTTCCCTGTGTACCGTACATACTTCACTTGTTTTTCCTACCAAAGGTTTCTCCCGTTTCTATAACAGCTGACATTTCTATCTCCAGCATAGTGTTAGAAAGCATGTTTGCTGCCCACACCCACTGTGTGCAAATAGATGTCTTACAAAAGCTTCTGTTTGTCACAAACACATATCATATCATATAAATAAGCAGGCATCACATCAGTGGTTTGCACACATTGTAATTCAATGCAACACAATTGTGCAGAGCAAAAACTAAAAGGGCTCTATTAAATGATTTATACCAAAGACTTGTGCACAGGGTTATTAACAGCAACATTTGGAAGCTGCTGTATATTTTATCACTAAGGTATGAAGTTTGTAACTCAGTGATGTTGCATTGAGTTCAGACCTGGTTATCAAACATTTCCTCAGCATAATGCCTCATTGGGATTCCCATGTGACATGAGCACTGCACTGATCACAGAACCATCCACCGGGTGGTAAATACGTTATAACACTTCTTGCACAAGTCTTTATGTTGCCCATAAATAGAGCCCTCAATTAGGTTAAATACATGTTAACTGGGTGCTTGTTTAATTGTATGAAAAACCTTCATAAGCACACTTTCAAGTTTGTAAACATAAACTGTGTTTTTCCTTGACAGATTGTTGAAAAAAGTCGTACAAAAAGCAGTGCAGACAATGTGGATTTACAAATCCTCCACAGTGAAAACTAAAAGCAGTGAAGTGAAAAAGCTAAAAAGTGGTTAATGACAGCTTTGTCTTAATATGACAACAGCCAGCAGAGTGAAAGCTGGACTCAATCATCATATTATTTAGTGTTATCTAATGGTGATCACTGTAAGACTGTCATATCTATTTTTAAATAAAACTAATACAGTATGACCTGTATCTACTTGCACATGTCTGTTATCCCTGTCCAAACGTCTGTGCTGGCTTGTATAACTTGGCAACAAGAGGGTTTTCCTGCTGTTCTGTCTGTAAGCACTTCAGATTGTTTTGCATAAAGCATGACACCTGTAGCCACTTGTCTCATAATATCAAAACAAAAGCAAAAAAAAACAAAACCCGACAGCAGTTCAAACATCTTTCAAGTCGTCTTGCTTCAATTCTTCACTTTGTTTTTGACTTCATCTTGATTTTCAGCCCACCTGCCACTAGAGAACAAAGAGGGGGGAGGTTATCAGAACAATATTCAGTCTTTGAGACAAAGTGCTATTTTATATATCAATGATATGTCTCACGTTTGAGAGTAGATGTCATATAGAAAACGTGGTTAGTGTGATATTTTGGTGTTACCGCTAACTGGGTAACAGATTATATCAACAACATATTATCATATTGTTGGCTAACATCTTACTATTCAAATAGAGAGATACATTCAAAGTTATATTTGCACCAGACTTTCTAGAGTGACACCCATGATCATCCTGTTTTTCTATAAATCACACAGCTTGAGGAAAATAACAAAACTAACCCTCAACCCGCCGCCGCCGCCTCCAGACACAGAGCCGGTCATCTCCTGTTTTTCCATCTCTTCCTGTTTCTTCTTTTTTCTCTCGACTGCTTCTGGATTTTTAACCCCCCTGTATGTTGTCTGAAAAAGAGAGTAGAAAATGGTCAAGCAATAACTGACAATGGCTTCATTAAAAAAAAGGAGCTTAAATATTATTAATACGTTCAAATATATAATGTACAGTCCAAAAAACATGCATGTTTTTCCCCAAAGATTACTTTAATAAAGAAACGTCTTTAAAAAGCACAAGGTATGTTCAATCAGAGCTAGCAAAATGGCATTCAACTTCCAAATAAAGCAATCCAGATAAAGGATGAAGCAGCTCACTGCCATGTGTGTGTTAGGGCCGAGTGATTTCATCTGCAGTCCTGAAAGTGTGAATCATCAGGGAAATTGAAGGTGAAACATGTGGTAGATTAGAAATGAGCCAATCCAAAAGATTCAATTGGCCAAAAAAAAGTTTTCATTTTGGTCAAAAAGAGTTTTCATTTTGGTCAATGTCTACTTACCTTGATACAACTTTAGCATGGCTCTTACGGGCTTTCAAGTGGCATTTCTGTATGATAATGAAAACACTCACCACACTGTCACATGCATCTACCTCAGATGGGATGTAGTATAATTTATACCACACCCAGTTTCCAGTATATTGTGTAAATCTCACTTAAACTAATTTAGTCTGAACAACCCTGCAGTAAATGTGATCCTTGTAAAGAGTATGATGTCCAGTTTTGGATCAAACGATTTAGAGAACTGTTCAGCTTTGTGGTTATTTTGGAGGCTGTGGTGTGTTTAGTTGTTGTTGAATTATAAAAAGGTAATACTGACAAATATTTGAAATCACACAATACAATTTAACAACATTAAACCAACAGCCTACATTTAATCCAACCTTCATGATGTTAGGATGTATTGCAGAGCTCATTATGGAAAACATTACTTTTAGTAATATAATAATAATAATAATAATAATAATAATACATTTTATTTGGGGGGCGCCTTTCATAGCACCCAAGGACACCTTACAGGGCATAGGGGCAATATAGGGAACAATTAAAACAGTGGATTTAGTGAATATGTACCTAATAATCTGGAAAACAGTATCAAAAGGGTTTTAGACACAAAGACAAACACACACAAACACTTATTAATTAACCTACCTCTTTCTGTCTTTTCTCAGCAGCCTCAGCCAATTGTCGTCTCCTTGCGTCCTGAAAGTAACAATACATCGAAACCTTTTAAGTATTATGGTTGGATTATTGTATTCATTTCTGAAACCATAGGTAAATTACAGCAACCCACAACTAACATTAAATACTTTATATGAAAACTTCTAAAAGAAAACCTCAGTTTTTCAGGGAAATGTGTCACAAAATCACCACTCAAAAGTTGTGTGCATTATCCTAACAATAGTTAAGTAACTCAGGGCTGTCCTGATGGATGTCAAATCCTTATAAACTCAACCACACAGAAAACCACACCCCTAAAGAGATACATGCACACACGCATGCTTTACAAATAACATTGCTAAACTATCATCACACACAAATGTTTGGTCTTGTATCAGTTAGTCTTGTCAGCTACATCTGTTAGCCACAGTCTATATAAAGCTAGCTAGTTGAGTATGTTGGGCCTGCAGCATGCTTTACAACCAGTGTTTACAGAGGCTAAACAGTCAACTCCTGAACATTACCTAGTAGGGCCTACTGATGTCCTATACACGATTAATCACATCCACATGGCATTTGGTTTATTTAACTAGTGAAAATACACATTTTATGTCGTTATACACGTGTGACATTCTGAATTTTGTAGTGACACAGCTGGTAATAAAAGTTTTAGTAAAATGAACCTACTGGATCTGGTGTGACCGCAACAACGTCGTCCGCTGCTCCACCAAGGCACGGCAAGCACATCCCCATACTGGAGTACCAGGAAGTAAAAGGCACGTAACAAATGGAAACAAGTGTCTTGGTTGAGATTATCAAGCTAACTTACTAGCTGGTAATCAGTCAAACCGCTGTGCTGATGGTTAAGGCAGAAGAGGAAGCAGCACCCAGCGACTGCTGCTGTTCGCATACCGTTACCGTTAGCTTATGTTAGCTCATGGTAACGATAGCATCCCAGTTTACAGTTAGCTACCACTAGCTACAAGCACATTTTCTCATCCAAGCAGCCACTTATTTTATTTCATTTCTTCCCAAACCTCTTTTTAAAAGCATCGACATATGACAAATATGTGTTATAAAGTCAGACGTCCATTCTAAATGTTTATCCCCGAGTTTGTTGACACAGCTGACTAATCTGCCAGTGTAAACTATGTTCACAAACACGATATTGCTAAACATTGTTCTACTAAGATGCACAAAAATAACTAAGCGCCAAATAATAATACCGCATCAAAACAATACGAAGCTGCTACTGTATTTGTACACGATTTATCTTAAGCTACAGTGGTCTTATTTATAACATACTTGGTCCACCTTATTGTGTTAACATGTGTTCATAGTGTGATTTTGAACGTAGCTCGGTGTGGCAGGTGATGGGTGGATGGATGCTACACACCGGTGTTCTGATAGCTGATGCAACAGCAGCACCTTGTGGCAAAGGAAAAAACTAAGGTTATAATCACTATGTTAATGATGATAATCTAATACATAAATGCCGCTGATGAAGTTTATTTAGCTATTCACTCATGACATAAAGAGAGTAATAATAAAGTTACAGAGACAGCTGAATGCTTTAGTTGATGGTATTACACTACAAATAATAAATAATCGATTCTATAAGCCAGGTAGTAATATATAAATATAATATATAATATAATTATGCTAATGAAAGCCATTAAACTCAAGGCAAACTTACCTTTTTAAAAGAGTGTATCCCTCCTCTCCTGGTTATAATTTGTTATCAATCATGTGGCTTAGACGAAAGGAGGAAGCCCCATATGATGAGAGTGATTCTCGATACAACAGTTCCGTCCAAATCAATGCTGTACAATCAATAACCTGAGAGTTTTAGTGTTGTTTCTATCCTGCTTAACCCGTCAACACTTTAAACTCCACCCATTCATCTTCGCTGCACAGCCGGGGCTTCATCACAGCTCAAAGTGCTGCACGGTGAATGGCAGCATCATGAATTTGCACAGCTTTTTCTACAAGTTTTCACTCAGAAACTTATTGAAGGGGGATTTGTACTGAAGGCACCTGTAGTCTTCATGCAATGGAAGTCAAGGTGTCCCAGGCTCTTGGCAGCTCTTCAGGTAGGTTTAACTCACACTGAGTAATAGTTAAGCAATGATTGACAATAGGCTACAACTGCTGCTATAAAACTAACTTTAACAAATAGCACTAAATATGACCTGATATGTTTGTTTAATGATTTGTGTTTTTGCATTAAATTTATTGAAAAGAAAAGAAAAATATGTTTTAATAACGTCTTACAACATGTTTAAAAATGTTCAATATAATGTTGGTTCTCTGACACAGCTTCAGTTCTGCAACAAGAACATCTCAGCGCTATAATTATTTAAAATGTACTTTTTTTTAACTTGGTTAGCAGTTGTCCATAATAATATATATATTAATTAAATCGTAGAAGCTTCATGAGTGCAGACTAATTCAGTAAGCATTATGAAACTGTACTTGATGAAAACTGATCCTTTATGATTTATTTATTAATGAAGCGACACATGGGCGCCTCCTTTATGTCATTTTCATTAATGAGAGCCAGATGAATTGGTCATTAAATAGAATAAGAAGATACAAAAGGCACTTTATGTGTCATTTCAGTGTTGTGTGCTCTTTTTACACTGGCATGTTTGCACAGCAGCATTCAGGGAAGCTTACTGTAATGTTGTGATGATGTAGTCAGTCACAGAAATGAAGGAAAGGGAGCGTGACTGTGAGGTAAATCCAGCAAACATCTCCAACATCATTCAGTTTAATGAGCTAGCTAATGCATGAATGCCATGGCTTTTATTAGCTGATCTAAATCACCACTCCCCCAGGCGAAGATGAAAAGGGCCAAACTGTGGTTATTTCATGATAGCTAATGGGACAGTGTTTTCATCTGTGTTGAGCCATGTGGATAATGTTCAGTGGTGTGCAGAGACTCTGAGTGGTGGCTCTGCTGGAAGCTGGATCAAAGGTTTACCTCATCTTGAATTTGCCACTGGTGTCGATCCTTCAGCTTTTGCCCCCTTACCCCATGTTTTTGGGTCACTCCTAAGAAGTGACTGTGTAGCAAAGATATCCAAGAAATCCCTGGCAAAGAGTGCGTCCTCGGACTAATTGAGGAGTTATGAGTGAACCCGGAAGAAAAAAAAAAACCTTTGTGTAATGGTCTTTGTTGTAATACATTGATAGTCTTAGGAAAACATAACCCAACATAATTAATAGACACTTGGAAAACTATATTCAATTTTATTTTCTAGAAGCAGCAGAAGATAGACTCTCAACAGTCAAGTAGCTACTTAAAATGTCCCTTTTTTGTCAATGAAAGCTCTCTGTGGTGTTTTGGGGGACATGACAGGTGCATCACATTCTGCATGAAGTCTTGATCCTTTTTGTTTGACATTTAAAGTCATTGTTTAGAATTATGCTTGAAGCCTCAACTGTTTGCTTCTTATTGCAGTTTGGAAGATATGAAAGAACCCAAGATTGTATCTGCACACATTGCATTAGAGAAGGAGACAAGAGTGCTATGAGACATTTATGTGGCCTTAAGTAATCACTGCCGACTAATGTAAGCTGTTTAAGTGATGCACAGCTTACAGACTAAATTGAAGCAGCCATCATGTAATGGAAATACTGCAGTATAAATGCCTTCCGTACTCCCCTTGTCTTATATGTGATAAACACTGATGCCTCTTTTATTTAATTATCAAGTTGCTGGTGAGGATATCCACCTGGTTGCACTCAAAGTAATTACATTTGCTCTATCAGCTGTTGATATTTCCATATTGTAAAGTAATTATGCACACATACTGTTATTATAGTATTCTATCCCCTAAGGTTATAAAAAAAAGCACTAGATGTCTCTGTGGTATTATTTTAGATCAGTGATTATGTCCTAGTAATAGACAGTGGCTGTGGTGGTCATGGTATATGCTGGTATTGATACATGTGTGGTCACAATTTCTTCCACATCTCATCATACACTCACGGCTACTTAAGGGAGAAATAAGGGGCCTGGGGATTTTAAATGTTTTTGAATAAATAATCAATGTGCCAGGAAGTACCTGCTCATCAATTGATCTGCAGACATGTCCAGGACAGTATATGATTGCACTTAGACCACACAGCTGTTATGCAATCCAAGCACTCTTCAGGGAAAGTTATTCTGTCTGACCAGTTGTCTGAAGCTCTGGTAGGAGAGGTTTGCCTGGCAATATTATTTCTTTGGCAATGATGTGCAGTAATCTCTGTTAATGGTGTTTGAGCTGAGAAATTGCACTTATTCAGTGAACGCATAATGACCTGGTTAAACTCTACTTTGGATTCACACAAACACATCACTGCTGCATTTTTAAATGAATTACAACACCCCCATTCTTGCAGGCTTTGGTTTCACAGCCCTCTGGTTGTAATTGCTGTTGCTGTCACAATGTTAACCATAAACATTAGCATTTTAATATTGTACTGTTCGCACCAGCATGTCTGGCAGACATTTGTTGTTTTGTTGTGGGCTCCTTTGAGAGGGGATGCTGAGGGGAGATGTTGCTGTTGGACCTGTGCTGAATAACTTCTGAGATGTAATGTTAATCTGGATGGAGGTGAGTCATGTTGTTTGGACTCAGAGTGCAGCCCCCCCGGCTCTTCCTGTTGGTTTTAATTAAGCTGAATGCACACATGAGGGAGGGAGCACACATCATCAGCACACACTGAATACAAATCTCTGACTGTAGATGTTTTTCTCCCATTGTAAACAAATGAAAATGCATTATTGTATGCTAACTTGGTTAACCTAGCAGTGACCTGTTTTGGATTCACAATGGTAGCCTCTACATTGTGTAATAAAGCAATTACTGCAACAAAATGGGTAGTGGTTGTTCGGGGAAAAGGTAAATACCCATGTATTACATTCATTTGGCCATTTATCTTCCTATTGTGCTGATCTTTTCAGCACAATCTAAGCATACACTTTGTTAGAGGAGTATAAAATAGACTTTAAATCATATTAAGACTTTTTTTTACATTTGCTAAAACAAATAAACATTAAAAAAACCTTAAAAAACAATTTGTTTATTTCTGAAATCATAAATATGTATCGGACAACAGCTTGAATTAGTAAGATCATGTGTCTTGTTGGTGTAGTGTTTATTTTACATTTAACTGCTTTTTAAAAGGACATCCAACCTGATCAGTATGCTTCTCCGTTGGTTTTGAAAAGACAGAGGCCAAATAGTTCCCCATTAGTGTCAAGTATCAGAGGGTAAAAAGGAATATTGAATACACGTTAAAAATGTATGAGTGCAGGAACACGAGAGAGCTGAGTAATGAGTGTGCTGTGATCACCTATCATTTTTACTGATCTGAACATAATGTACAAGCTGTTATGTATTCCCATTGATAATTTGAGAAACAGTGTTCATACAGTAGGCTGAGTGGCAGGATGCTCTCCAGGAAAAAGCAACAGTAAAGATACTTTAATAACATTATAATATTATACCCTCTCACTTTGTGTGTGTTTGCAGGATCATGTCACCAGGACAACTATATGTTTGTGCCTCTGCTGGAGAGGCACGCTCATATCAATCCCAACATCAGCCACTCAGCGTCCTTGAGCTCCTCGCTGGCCAACAGCTTCCCCTCCGGAGACACGGAGACGGACAGCGACCAACTCTCCGGTGAGTTTGCCAGAGCACTTGTGAATAAAGGGTTTTAAATGCATTACATTTAAGATCCGCCATTACTTGTTTGACATATTGCTGCACAGCTAATGTGAATATTAAGTGCGGGATGATACTAAGATTTAAGATGAGTCCTATTGCACTTAGACCATGCTGACTCTGCCATTAATGCGTTAGTCAATTAGTCAGATTAAATTGGCAAAAATGTTGATCATTGATTTATCGTGAAAGTAATTTATCAAGCAAATACACAAAAAAGTGTCTTTGATGTCTAACAGGTGATGATCTACTGCTTGTCTGTCTTGTCACTGAAAATGAAATAACCTTTGCATCAGACTTTCTGTTGGACAAACCAATAAGGCTGACCCCTCTAAGTTGATTAGTTTACTCATATTGGCATTTTTGACTAAGACTAACCATTTAGTTTGGAGGCTGCAAGACCTACA